GTATGTTCTACCGGATATACAACGGACTGTGTTCTGAATCTTTCGACATGATGTCCAAGGCTACTTTTTACCATAGCACCGCTCGCCATCATCGGGTAATTCATCCGCACATGCTGGAACCTGGAACATAGTCTGTTTTTTTTTTGTTTTAATCATCTTTATTTCCTATAAGAGCAAATAATCTAAGCCCATACAGCCGTTGTCTTCACATATCGCATATCAATTTATTCATAAATTTATAAGTTTCTTGCTTTTTCAGTAAAATTTGAATAGTGCGCGGAATATTCAGATCCTTATAAATGCACATTGAATTGTCAATTGACCAAACGTTGTAAATTAAACTTAAATTTGACAATGTGGTTTCGGACAGTGCGGTTTCAAAGGAGCTGCCTCCCGCGTACATTTAGATTGTGGAAAGAATTATCCAGCATAAAATCCATAAATGAACTTATAACTAAAACAATAATAACGGAGCGGCATGAACTAAGGCTTCAGTAGCCCGACTTAGATCGAAAGGTAGTAACTTCAAATCTGGCCGAAACAAAAATCACCTTTCTGACTGGCTTTCGATGATGACGGAAATAGCAAACTTAATTGCTTTTTTCTAAATTGTACAGAAAACAACGCAAACACAATCATACTCATGAATACAACAAGTACATAGTACAAGAATCAAATCCGCGACCTGTAAGGCGGTGTAGGTACCTAAGCAGCTGGACCACCTACTTCGAAATACAATATCGTACTAATAATATAAACGCGAAAGTTTGTGATCATGGATGGATAAATGGATGTTTGTTACTTTTTAACGCAAAAACTACTGAAGGGATTTAGTTTATACATCAGATTAACATATAGACTATATTTTATATTGAAATTTAACATTTTATATACATGCCGTCGAAACTGCGAGCACAACTAGTAGATACATAGTTTCACAGTCACAAATAAAATCATATAAGTATGTGTTATGGGAGGGCCATCAAGCCCATCGAGTTCCCGATATGTTCAAGTACAATGAGTGGCCGGAAAATCAACGGATTCCATATACGAGGATATTATTGGTCATCGCCACCATATACCACGTTTTAGTCTATTGAATATGCAAACCACGTCCGTTACCAAAGACCGCCTTGCCCAGCTGTGAATAGAAAGAATCGCTATCATGGAATTTAGGTGTGTCCACACACGAAAATATCGATATCCCATATATTACATATTTATAAAATATCGATATCGATGTACCTTTTTTTTTTCTTGGGGAAATCCGTCATGGAGACCCGCCCGCTCCAGAGGTAAGGAGCGGGTACTGGCGGACTCCTACCGGCTAAAACCCCAAGGTGTACCTCTACTGCTTGTTGCCGGAGCTCCTAGTCCAACCACAAGTTCTGTTACAAATGAGTACATTTCTTTTTGATGAAGCAATGTAATATTAATAGAACAAAAAATATAATCAGGTTGTGAACACTGATTAAATTTTTTGTTCTTTGCGATAGCATATGCTGGTGGTCACTCTATTCTCCCAAATTTGAATTTTAATAACTGTATTTATCATAAACATGTTCCACTATTATTTGAAAAAAAAATACGAGCTGAGTTTCTTGTCAGTTCTTCTCATCTCGATATCATTCCGAACTGACGGTAGATTTGACATATCATAAGAGTCTGTAATAGACCTACATGAATAAAGATATTTTAAATTTTGAATTTTATTGTTAAAATTTTACCTACATATTTATTAAAGTTCAGCAAAAAATAAAAAAAATATCCAAAGGCGACACTGTCGCCTTTAGCTTTTATATAACCTTTAATCTGTTTGGCCACGAATGTATGGGTTTACGAGCTTTTTCCAAGGGAAATTTCGCCACTGCTTGTGCCAAAGATTTGTCAAAAAGTCACCGTGTCATTTAGTTTAGGCCATGTTCACTAAAACTGGCCATAATTTGAAGTCCAAAGAATTGAGACCTGGGCAAGATGAGGGCCATAAAGTCCGGAACGTTGGTTTCAAGCCAGATTTGGGTGATTCGTGCCTTATGACCAGGTGCAGAGTCCTCCTGGAAAGTCCACGGTATATTTTTAAAAAGTGTATTGCTGAGAGGTTTCCCAATATGATCTAAAACTGAATCTTGATACACTTTGGCTGAAGTTTTCACTCCTTTTTCGCAAAAATGTAGTTTTGCGACTCCTTGATAAGAGTATTTATGGCCAGACTAGTTATCACTATCAATATATATAGAGAAATGTATACCTATAAGAGCATACTTCCTAAAAGGACGGCAACGCACTTGCAATTCTTCTAGCGTTGCGGGTGCTCACGGGCGGCGGTAATCACTCATCAGGTGAGCCACAAGCTTGTCTGTCCCCTGTGCTATATATATACAGTGGCGTAGCTACCTAGGGGCTAGGCGGGGCAGTGTCCCGAGTCCTTCAAGCTCAGGGGCCCTTGAACCCTTACTAGAAAATCTCGATCGAATTGAACTTTTGAAAATTCTAATTTAAAACTCTCCCATTTTCAAAATAAACATGACAGGTTGCAATCTGACTTTAATCATGGAATTCGGAATCCTTCGGAGTTCCCTTAAATTCTTTCTTGGGTTGGCAGTGTTATCAATTTGACGGATAGCGATATGTGCGTTTTAACAGAACCGTAATGTAGGGCCTCACTGCTCAACAGTGGGACCCCATTTTGTTGTTTGTCCCAGGGCCCTTGGTTATCTAACTACGCCACTGTATATATAACCTTGGTCTGTTATATTAAATAATTGTCTATATACATAACCAGCGCTACGGACATTACGTTATCGTGTGGCACCTGGTATACCAGAGTCATTGCCGTTCCCAATAACGATGATCATGACAGATGTGGCATTTTATTAATGTTGCCGTTTATTTTACAGTTCTGTATTAATAATAATAATGTCTCAGGACAATTCACACAACGCCATCCAGTCCCAAGCTAAGCAGAGCTTGTGTTATGGGTACTAGACCACTGATATAAATATATGGATGCATTTTTTTGTAAATAAATACATATTATACATAGAAAACACCCAGACCGATACAAACAATCATACTCATATATAAATGTTTGTATCGTGCGAGGAATCCAACCCGCGACCATCGGATAGTAAACCACTATACCACCGAGGCTGTCGAATTACATGTTATCAGTCAATTTAATTGATGTTCTTTGAAAAAATATGGTTTCCTATATACCTGATAATTTACATCGATATTTCGAAATACCAAAATAAATAAAAACGAACTATCGATATTTTTTCGACAAACCTATTTGAGCTCGAACTACCGGTGGCTCTGTGCGTATGATGTACGTACTTACCACGAATGGAATATCTTCTAAGAATAGTACCTACTTGACAAATTTATATTCATGAATTGCATATAGGCTGAGATTGGGCGTTACTGTCTTTGTTCTTTTTTTAATAGATAATAGTAATAATAATAAAATTAAAGATATGTATAACCACACTATAATATAACCAACTATATGTTGTGGAATGCTGAAAAAAAAAGACATTTCTTTAGCATTAGATACATTAGTATTCTTATTTACAATAATAATACTGTATAACTTAAGGACTGTGTGAAAGATGATAGGTAAGAACGGGAGATAATAACGTGATGAGTGCGAACAGGGATGAATGGAAGAGAGAAAAACATATTACGACGACCACAAATAAATTAGATAAGGAAGAAGCAGATGATGATTACTATATAACTTAAAAGCTACAACATACTGGCAGTTGTACCTGATTGCAGCGAGCGCTGTCAGCGCGAGCGAGGTTTTCAGTAGCTCCACCAGACACGAGACTGCGTGCGTACAGATAACAAAAGAACATAAAATTTACGAATAAAATATATAACAACATAAAAATATGAACCATTTGGGTTTCTTGCCATTTCTTCTCTGAAATAGCTAGCTGAACTGGACGGTATGGATTTTGATAAAAAAGTATTTCATAAATACATAAGAGGCCGAAATATCCTATTACGCATGACTAAATATTATTTAATTATAATTCTATACATGTACTGAATCAGAAAGTCGGATCAGAAAGTCAGTAATATCTCATCTTTTACACCAGAATAAGCACAAGCTGCTCGTGGCAAAATTGGTGAAATTCATATGTCCAAGCAGACGACTATGTACTGTATCCCTTAAGACAAATAAGTTAAAAATGATCCTATCTAACGGTCTATCTATGTATGCAGACATACTTGAGTATCAATGGATTCCACCCTTGCACCTTGTTTCCTTTCATTATTTCTCTTTGTCGATTAATGTATGGATGTGTTTATGGATGTTTTCTAGACACGAAAGATGAGGTTCAAATATGGTTTGTGGGTACCATTTATATTGCAATTTCTTAATAGTCGATAACGCGTAATTAATACTCCATGTGTCAATGTTTCAGGTGTCAAAGGCAACGTTAATTGTTTACTTCTATCAGACGGGGCGTATGCTTGATAGCCATAATTGTTGTGTAAAAAATATTTGTTTGTATAATAAAACTGTTGATGGTTGGTCTTTCGTACCGTCATAGAACGGGGTTTGCCCCGACATCAACTTCGAGGACAACAAGCCCCAGGGACTGGATGATTATCCTCATATTGTCATGAATAATATTTAGTAAGTGGTCACTCTATAAAAATTAATCTTTATTTTGGTAAACATGTATAAGCTTATTTCAAAAGAATAAGATCTGTGCTCGAAAGCACTCCGAACTGACGGTTGATTCAATTTATCATAAGACTCTGTAATAGATCTACAGAATTAAAGATATTTATGATTTTGAGTGATAAGGGAATTAAATAATTCAATAACGGAATTAACCAATTCAATCTTGTAATAAAATCGTAAAAGCTGAACGCAACCATAACTGTCAACTGCAATTAGTCTAATGTCAATGTCAAACTTCCGTCAAAATAATCAGATTCCGACTGACTCAAATTAATATACAATTAAAATAATAAATAAATTAGTCTTAATAATTAATAATTTGCATTTATATTATTCTCTACTATTTATTATACTTTATTTGTGACAAGTTGATTGTTCTCTTACTTGTTTGATTTGATTTAGTTGCTGATTGAGTATTGTAATTCTTAGATTTGATCAAAACAATGTCCAATAAATAAAGGAAAGTGTAGGTTACGCAGTGAAAAAAGAACAGCACAATGCACGATTTTACAAGCATATTAAACATCATATTTATAATAAGCGGTGGGGTACTCACTTGCGTTATTTTGTTTATATTCGCCAAAAGGCAAATCACAAGGTTCGCTCTCCGCTCTCGTAGAGGTCCTCACGTTCCTATAGGTGCAGACGCTAAAAAAGTGAGTTAATTGTACTTAAATAAGAATTCATTCTATTATCATCAATTAAACTATAAAAATATACTTATTTCAGTGCCTAAAAAAGGAGATTGAACGTAGAATCGAAGCTGTACCACGGATCATGCACGAACCAAAGCTGTTGAGTGCCGAACCCTCACATTATATCTTGGAGCCCCAGCAGCCGTACCACTACAGGTTCAGAGCAGTGGATGATGTGAAGCTACTGGGTTTGTGATTACTATAGCATATACAATAATGTTACTTGAATCCAGAGAGTTTTCATGTTTGAATTTGAATATAAATTAACCTATTTGTTAATTTAGGATATGGTTTATCTATGTACCAAAATTACATTCCAATTTATGCAGATCTTATTAGTATGATGTAAAGTAGAGGTTCCCAAACTTTTTTGTGTCATAGACCCCTTGCCATATTTTTCGGTTTTGGGTAGACCCCCCATTCTTACTTGGTATTGATTTTTTGTAATTTTCTAACCATAGTATAGTTTAGTGTTAAAAACATAAAGTAAAAACACGATTACTGCTGTCGTACACCCCTTGCAGTTTGTCATAGACCCTTGGGGATAGATATAAATTACTTTGGGAAACACTGATGTGAAGGATCTAGTGGGTTAAGCATATGAAAACTACAGTTGCATCTGATGAATGTCTTACCTTCTTTTTATTGTTTTCCATCTAAAATAACCATACACTCAATCTCACATCCCAAACCCTATATGGTTGAAAAAATAAGAAAATATTAAGGGGTGGGTCACCCTTATCATTAAGGGGTAAATAGGTATTGATAGATTCTCAGCCCTACCCAATATGCACACAAAATGCCATAAAAATTGGTAAAGCCATTTTGGAGGAGTCTGGTAACAAACACCGTGACAGGAGAATTTTATATATAAGAAGATAATAAAATATAAAATAAATTGACTATAGAAGAAGAAATAGCCCGCCAAGATCCGGTGTTGCGGCGTCATCCGCGCGAGTCTCTCCGCGCGTTCCTGTTGTCGTCGCTGGCGGCGCCGCTGGACGGACGCGGACAGAAGCTGGTGCACCAGTTCTGTGATACATATGAGTTCGCCAGACACCACCCGGGAGAGTTTGGGGACGAAGAATATCAAGCCTACAGTCGACTCCTGTTGAAATTACTGGATGCGTAAGTCATATGGTAATCAAATATTAAAGAAAAATGCTCATACCTTCATAAAAGGCCATCAACGTAGTTGCAATTCCTATGGTGTTGTGGATGCTCATGGGTGATGGTAATCACTTACTATCAGGTGACCGGCAAACTCGCTTGTCTCTTATGCTATAAAAAACATTTGACTGGTGGTAAGCTCCTTCTGCAGAGTCTGATCGTCTGCTTTACTAATCCGCCGTAGAAGAGAAATCGCCCTCTAGCCTAATCGCCGGTATATCCTTGCCTCTAGATAAGGATATACCTAACTCCTAAGAAATTAAATTAATATTTTATGTAGGATAATGGTGGGTCAAGTAACGGGTCAACAGTACAGCATGGTAAGATGAGAATGAAGTTAGGTCAGTTAACCCATCGTGAGAAATTCACCAGAAACTTATCACACAAAAACACACAAGCTTGTTATGTGAATTACTGTATTGCCGACTATTCAGATTGCCAACTTCATGATATAAAAGATTTGTGCTGGGTCACATAGCAGGGTAAAATTTCAATGGACTGCTGTTCTCATTTCTCTGCTACTACCAGTCTTTCTATCACAACATGATATCGTCTAAAAAGCATGTAGGAGACATGCGACAGTAATGCTTTTCCGTAATCGACCTAATACATTTTGTCTATTACTCACTCGGCGAGCGACAAATGATCACCAATTACACAATACCCTCAGCTGGCTACTAAAAGTAGCCATAGTGGAACTCCATCTACAACTTCGATATAAGTTTCACTTCAACGAACTAGAGACGCTTGGGAAGTGGACTGTTAGTAATGTGGACTAATGATCCTTTTGCTAGCAATGTACCATGTCAGGACCTCCGAGCGGTTCCCCTTCGAAACCATCGTGATAAATTTCCGGTGAATTTGTCACGTTGACCTAAGTGATCCGACTACATGTTCAAACTATCATCCTCCAATGGTGCCTTGCCAGCGTAAAAGTTAGCGCCGGCGAGTGCACCATTATCATCCTCTAAAAAAAAACTAGAGCCGCTACAGTGAGCGTGGCGTGTCCTCAGGGCGCGGCTGCTGCGCAGCGTGGGCGCGGGCGGGCAGTCCCCGCGCGGCAGCCCCCTGCGGCGCACGCACGCCGCGCGCCTCCTGGACGCCGCGCGGCTGCGGCCCGGCCTGCCCGCGCTGCCCGGCGCCGCCAACCTGCGCAACTACACCGCGCTGCAGGTCGCTCTATATCGCACTATATCGCACTGTATCGCACTGTATCGCACTATATCGCCGCCCGCCTGCTGGACGCCGCGCGGCTGCGGCCCGGCCTGCCCGCGCTGCCCGGCGCCGCCAACCTGCGCAACTACACCGCGCTGCAGGTCGCTCTATATCGCACTATATCGCACTGTATCGCACTGTATCGCACTATATCGCCGCCCGCCTGCTGGACGCCGCGCGGCTGCGGCCCGGCCTGCCCGCGCTGCCCGGCGCCGCCAACCTGCGCAACTACACCGCGCTGCAGGTCGCTCTATATCGCACTATATCGCACTATATCGCACTGTATCGCACTGTATCGCACTATATCGCCGCCCGCCTGCTGGACGCCGCGCGGCTCGCAACTCGCTCTATATCGCCTATATCGCACTATATCGCGCGCACTGTATCGCACTATATCGCCGCCCGCCTGCTGGACGCCGCGCGGCTGCGGCCCGGCCTGCCCGCGCTGCCCGGCGCCGCCAACCTGCGCAACTACACCGCGCTGCAGGTCGCTCTATATCGCACTATATCGCACTATATCGCACTGTATCGCACTGTATCGCACTATATCGCCGCGCGCCTGCTGGACGCCGCGCGGCTGCGGCCCGGCCTGCCCGCGCTGCCCGGCGCCGCCAACCTGCGCAACTACACCGCGCTGCAGGTCGCTCTATATCGCACTATATCGCACTATATCGCACTGTATCGCACTGTATCGCACTATATCGCCGCGCGCCTGCTGGACGCCGCGCGGCTGCGGCCCGGCCTGCCCGCGCTGCCCGGCGCCGCCAACCTGCGCAACTACACCGCGCTGCAGGTCGCTCTATATCGCACTATATCGCACTGTATCGCACTGTATCGCACTATATCGCCGCCCGCCTGCTGGACGCCGCGCGGCTGCGGCCCGGCCTGCCCGCGCTGCCCGGCGCCGCCAACCTGCGCAACTACACCGCGCTGCAGGTCGCTCTATATCGCACTATATCGCACTGTATCGCACTGTATCGCACTATATCGCCGCCCGCCTGCTGGACGCCGCGCGGCTGCGGCCTGCCCGCGCTGCCCGGCGCCGCCAACCTGCGCAACTACACCGCGCTGCAGGTCGCTCTATATCGCACTATATCGCACTGTATCGCACTGTATCGCACTGTATCGCACTATATCGCCGCGCGCCTCCTGGACGCCGCGCGGCTGCGGCCCGGCCTGCCCGCGCTGCCCGGCGCCGCCAACCTGCGCAACTACACCGCGCTGCAGGTCGCTCTATATCGCACTATATCGCACTGTATCGCACTGTATCGCACTATATCGCCGCGCGCCTGCTGGACGCCGCGCGGCTGCGGCCCGGCCTGCCCGCGCTGCCCGGCGCCGCCAACCTGCGCAACTACACCGCGCTGCAGGTCGCTCTATATCGCACTATATCGCACTATATCGCACTGTATCGCACTGTATCGCACTATATCGCCGCGCGCCTGCTGGACGCCGCGCGGCTGCGGCCCGGCCTGCCCGCGCTGCCCGGCGCCGCCAACCTGCGCAACTACACCGCGCTGCAGGTCGCTCTATATCGCACTATATCGCACTGTATCACTGTATCGCACTATATCGCCGCCCGCCTGCTGGACGCCGCGCGGCTGCGGCCCGGCCTGCCCGCGCTGCCCGGCGCCGCCAACCTGCGCAACTACACCGCGCTGCAGGTCGCTCTATATCGCACTATATCGCACTGTATCGCACTGTATCGCACTATATCGCCGCCCGCCTGCTGGACGCCGCGCGGCTGCGGCCCGGCCTGCCCGCGCTGCCCGGCGCCGCCAACCTGCGCAACTACACCGCGCTGCAGGTCGCTCTATATCGCACTATATCGCACTATATCGCACTGTATCGCACTGTATCGCACTATATCGCCGCGCGCCTGCTGGACGCCGCGCGGCTGCGGCCCGGCCTGCCCGCGCTGCCCGGCGCCGCCAACCTGCGCAACTACACCGCGCTGCAGGTCGCTCTATATCGCACTATATCGCACTATATCGCACTGTATCGCACTGTATCGCACTATATCGCCGCCCGCCTGCTGGACGCCGCGCGGCTGCGGCCCGGCCTGCCCGCGCTGCCCGGCGCCGCCAACCTGCGCAACTACACCGCGCTGCAGGTCGCTCTATATCGCACTATATCGCACTATATCGCACTGTATCGCACTGTATCGCACTATATCGCCGCGCGCCTGCTGGACGCCGCGCGGCTGCGGCCCGGCCTGCCCGCGCTGCCCGGCGCCGCCAACCTGCGCAACTACACCGCGCTGCAGGTCGCTCTATATCGCACTATATCGCACTATATCGCACTGTATCGCACTGTATCGCACTATATCGCCGCGCGCCTGCTGGACGCCGCGCGGCTGCGGCCCGGCCTGCCCGCGCTGCCCGGCGCCGCCAACCTGCGCAACTACACCGCGCTGCAGGTCGCTCTATATCGCACTATATCGCACTGTATCGCACTGTATCGCACTATATCGCCGCCCGCCTGCTGGACGCCGCGCGGCTGCGGCCCGGCCTGCCCGCGCTGCCCGGCGCCGCCAACCTGCGCAACTACACCGCGCTGCAGGTCGCTCTATATCGCACTATATCGCACTGTATCGCACTGTATCGCACTATATCGCCGCCCGCCTGCTGGACGCCGCGCGGCTGCGGCCCGGCCTGCCCGCGCTGCCCGGCGCCGCCAACCTGCGCAACTACACCGCGCTGCAGGTCGCTCTATATCGCACTATATCGCACTATATCGCACTGTATCGCACTGTATCGCACTATATCGCCGCGCGCCTGCTGGACGCCGCGCGGCTGCGGCCCGGCCTGCCCGCGCTGCCCGGCGCCGCCAACCTGCGCAACTACACCGCGCTGCAGGTCGCTCTATATCGCACTATATCGCACTGTATCGCACTGTATCGCACTATATCGCCGCCCGCCTGCTGGACGCCGCGCGGCTCGCCGCCCGCGCTGCCCGGACCGCCAACCTGCGCAACTACACCGCGCTGCAGGTCGCTCTATATCGCACTATATCGCACTATATCGCACTGTATCGCACTGTATCGCACTATATCGCCGCGCGCCTGCTGGACGCCGCGCGGCTGCGGCCCGGCCTGCCCGCAACCTGCGCAACTACACCGCGCTGCAGGTCGCTCTATATCGCACTATATCGCACTATATCGCACTGTATCGCACTGTATCGCACTATATCGCCGCGCGCCTGCTGGACGCCGCGCGGCTGCGGCCCGGCCTGCCCGCGCTGCCCGGCGCCGCCAACCTGCGCAACTACACCGCGCTGCAGGTCGCTCTATATCGCACTATATCGCACTATATCGCACTGTATCGCACTGTATCGCACTATATCGCCGCGCGCCTGCTGGACGCCGCGCGGCTGCGGCCCGGCCTGCCCGCGCTGCCCGGCGCCGCCAACCTGCGCAACTACACCGCGCTGCAGGTCGCTCTATATCGCACTATATCGCACTATATCGCACTGTATCGCACTGTATCGCACTATATCGCCGCGCGCCTGCTGGACGCCGCGCGGCTGCGGCCCGGCCTGCCCGCGCTGCCCGGCGCCGCCAACCTGCGCAACTACACCGCGCTGCAGGTCGCTCTATATCGCACTATATCGCACTATATCGCACTGTATCGCACTGTATCGCACTATATCGCCGCGCGCCTGCTGGACGCCGCGCGGCTGCGGCCCGGCCTGCCCGCGCTGCCCGGCGCCGCCAACCTGCGCAACTACACCGCGCTGCAGGTCGCTCTATATCGCACTATATCGCACTATATCGCCGCGCGCCTGCTGGGCGCCGCATTTGTTTACTTATTATTATTTATCAAAATATGTAGTTTACTAAATGAAAAGTGTAATAATACCAAATTATACGGGTTTGTTTGTATCTATGTACCCCAAATCAATAGCAAATCGTCAATTATGTTACTATATATTTCCAGAACTTGCCAGTAGAGTCAAAACTGGACGAGATCATCCGTATCCCAGTGAAGAGCCCTACGGAGCCGCTGGTGAAGCCCCCCGCGGACGAAACGGCCGTCTGAGGGCGGCGCACCCGCCACGAGGCGCAGACCTTGTAGACGGGTTCATAACAATTATAGTACACACGACTACATACACAATGCAGAGTGTAAACTCACTACTATTACTGGGCACTAGCTCAATCTTAAAAGTGACATTAGTCAAACAAAATCATGTACACCTTAAAAAAATTATAAACATCATTGTCTATGTTTCACTACTCTCAAACACAATTTTTTTTCAACACTTCTACTACATTTTTGGGCACCAATTTAATGTGGAAAGTGTCAAACAATATGAGAAATTGACCATAGAGAGTGATGACGACACTTTTTTTAATCTGTAATTTAACTGGCATATTTTAATGTGCAAGCTCACTTGGGAAACAATAGGTACTATACACTGAATGCATATAGTCTACTTTGCTAATTAATACTATAGATAAATAGAGAATTTATTTATTTGACAATGTTTTATTTAAATTGTAGATCTTACAATAAAATATGGTATAATTGTTCTCCTCATCATCAGAAGTCATACAAACTACATTACAATGTAATAATAAGAAAGTTCAATAGTTTTATGTTAATTCTTGCAAAGTATAGAAAAAAAAGTATTCATAGTTATGTAAGAAATATGCACTGGCGATAATTTTCCAGAATGAGCACTGCCTAAAAACTTGACTTTCACTTTGTAATCTTCTGTAGAGTGGTGTAATAAGGTTTGATACTTTAGTGCAATTGTATAGGGCCAAACGTAAATTATGTAACATTTTCATATAATTTTGACCCTTTCTCTTGTGCTTATGATAGATGTAAATAAAAAAAATGAAAATAAATTGGCTTTAACAAAAATAGAAGTTCAGTTCAGAAGAATAATTGTAATACATTTTCTTACGTAATACTTGAACGGTCCCTTAGTATTTTGTTAATAGTTCACATTTCGTATTTTGATATTTAGATGTTAGATTTCGAAATGTTCACTTAGTCACTTTGTGAACACCATCTTCCCGCCTTTAAAGTTAGACATAATTTATTGATGGCCCCTATAATAAGTGGGTGCTTAGATCAGTTGTTACTAGTGCCAAATGTGGAACTAGCAGAAAGGTCGTAGGTTGTAATTTATTCGAGGTAACAATAAATGTATATATATTTAATTTTGTATAGGGCCTCGTTTATAGAACTTAGTCTGAAATTAGGTGTAATTGTATATTGAAGAAGGAATCTGCATGTTGACTCTAGTAACTAATTTCGAAATAAAATACATTAACTCAAAAATTATCCTTTTTAAAAATCACCTTTAATGTTTACAGTTTAAAGTCGAATTTACAAAATTTCATTTTTTTAGTTGTTGCAGATTCCAAACGTGTGATATATAAATATATAGGATCTTGCATTTGTAATGTTATGCGTTTTAAAATCATTACCCGATTCATAATATAGATTGGGGTGTGAAGAGTAGCCTAAAATGTCGACTGTTGTACTTTTTAAATAAAAATATTTATAATGCATATTTATATATTGTGGTATATTGAAAACGTGGGTGTGGGTGACACAGTGTAATATATTGTATGGAGAGGTTAGAAAATGAACTGTAAATATATAAAAAAGTGTATTTTGTAAATTTACGTACCTAAACCTATTTATAGTCCAATAAGCATATTATGTAATTAAATGTAATATAATTTAAACAACCAAAGGCTTGTTAATAAATATTAAACAAAGTATTTTTTTTTTTCTATAATTATCACACTCGTTTAAAACCAATTCTGAAGATATTGCGATGTACAATAAGCTGATTCGTATTTTGATGAGACAGCTTTCTCAATGAGCGAAAGATTAAAAGGTTAACTGACTATTCAAAAGTGCTTAAATTAAATTTATTTGCATATAAAGGATTTTCTATTCTATAATTTCACAGCTCTTTAAGAGTATATAGTACACTAGGAATATGCTACTAGACCTCCACGTGGTTCCCACAGGAAACTATCAAGATAAATTCTTGGTGAAGCTGTCATGATGGGCTAACTGACGTGACTTCATGTTCATCTCATGCTCCACTGGTGGCCCGCCAGCGTAAACCGTTAGCGCAGACGGTTGCTACATTCCATTATCTATAGCCCACAGCCACAGTCGGCTGTGGCTGTAAAAGAACGACGCTGGGGTGGTCGACCCCAGCAGAATGCCCGGGCAAGGAGCGCAAGCTCGGGGCCCGCACCCAGCGGTACACGGACCAGCGGACGACCCGGTATCTAATTTATACATATAAATAAAATTGGAGTGTCTATTTGTAATATTGAAGTAACCGTTTCTTACTACATGTATATGAATATAAATACGGTACATACACCAAAATAACATTTACAATTTTTGTCTGTCTGTTTGTTCCGGCTAATCTCTGAAATGGCTGGACCGATTTTGACGGAATTTTTATTGGCAGGTAGCTGATGTTAGAAGGAGTAACTTAGGCTACTTTTATTTAAGAAAAAATAAAGTTAAATTCCACGCAGACGAAATCGCGAGTACGGCTAGTCATCTATAAGAAATAGGTTGAATAGGTAGTAAATAATAACAAATAAATTGTATAACAAGTTTAATATCATAAAAATCGTATAAAAATCAATACTATGGACTAGACTGATCAGAGAATTCTTAACAAATAGATTTACTTTTAAACTTCCGCGTTTTGTATACATAAATACATTATTTTGTAAATATGTATAAATAATATTTACAAAATAATGTATTTAAGTATTTATCTCAGTTGTCTAGTACCCACAACATAAGCTCCGTGTTATAACAAACCTGAATCAATAACAATCAAATGATTAATTCAAACAAGGGGGGAAGTTAATTGTTAGTAATGTGGACTTATGTTCCCATTGCTAGCAATGTACCAAGTCAGGACCTCCACGCGGTTCCCCCTGGAAACCATAGTGATAAATTCATGGTGAATTTACTACGATGGGTTGACTGCCCTGACCTTATGTTCAACTTATCGTCTTCCACTGGTGCCCCGCCAGCGTAAACCGTTAGCGCAGGCGGGTGTACCGTTCCATTATCATCATTAAAAAAAATCACACAGCGCCATCTAGTCCTAAAGTAAGAAGACCTTGGGTTATGGCTACTAAGCAACTGATATAAATACAGTGTTATCTCACTAATCCGGCACTTCGATAGATAGGCACGTCCAATAATCCGGCACTTGTCAACCCACATCACATGAGCAGAAAAAAACGGCATATCTGCCAAAGATATATAATACTTCGCAATATGCGAGAAAAGGTTTTTAAGCAAGGACTACAAGTTACACAGAAGCAGCGCTCAATGATTTTAAAAGGATATTTTAAAACTAGTTAATTACATATGTACCTACATGTTAATTTAATACATTACATACATACAATTATTCTCTCTATGAAATGCTTTATTTTGTTCACTATATACCTATGACTTTTTCATTCTATTAGCTATGACGTAGTCTGGTGTTTTGAATAGTCATGCTCACTAAAATGTCCAGACTTGTGGCGGCGTGGTGGACTGGGTCATTGGGCTCCCTAAAATATGGTCCAGCGCAGTGATAGCTGGCTCATGGATGTAAAGTAAGAATAAAATTATTTAAAAGAGCAACACACAAGTTTCTTTCTTGTTCTTCTTAAGATGAGACAGCTTTCCGAATGAGCGGTAGATTATAAAAATGTGATAACTATTCAAAAGTTCTTCAATTAAATGATTTTCTATTCTATTCTATTCAGTATAATCCAGTAATCCGAACATTCTAATAATCCGGCACCCTCCAGTTTTTAATAGTGCCGGATTAGTGAGATTACACTGTACTTAAATGCATGATTTTGTCTGGTATTGGACTTGATGTTTTCTATTTACAAAAAACGTGTCTATCCACACTCACAAACTTCCACGTAAGACTGGCGACCCACTCTGCCTTCGCACGGGTGATTTATCATTTTTTTCCAGCTTTACAATACTATTTTGTGCATGTCTTGTACATATAAAACTTTCCCTTGAATCACTCGTATCCATTTCAGAAATCTGCCTTTAAATCTTTATTTTCAACATCATATGTCCATGGCGACTGCGTTTTTAACAAAGTGGCTCTCTCTGAAATAAAAACATTCAATCATTAATATATTGGGTATACGGGTGCTGCTTGTAGGGACTGGTCTGCTCTAATCACTATGACTGATTTCCTCTTATTAATTGTTTAACCAGTGGGTTATATATTCAATATTTTTTTTCTATTTGAGTATTTAATTGAATTAGTGCTAATTGGTGGTTTGTATTCACACACTTAAACTTAAAAATGTAAAGTAATAATAAAATTATTTAAAAGAGCAACACGCAAGTTTCTTGCTCGTTCTTCTTGTGATGAGACAGCTTTCCGAACGAGCGGTAGATTAAAAAATGTAATGACTATTCAAAAGTGCTTCAATGTAAGTTTATTTGAATAAATGATTTTCTATTCTATTCTATTTAATACTAGCCATGCCCGCCGGTTTCACATGCGTGAAATTTATAGTTAATATGTTATTCTAACTGTCTCTTAATTCTGTTAATTTTAAGCAAGACTACTGTAAAGTTTCATAAATATCCGTGCGTTCAGTAGTTTTTCCGTGAAAGTCTAACAAACATTTATGCATACTCACAAACTTTCTATTTGGCACATTGATTTTAGAAGAAACAGTCTAATCCATCACATTTAAAATAAGTAATCATGTTGCTAAGTAACAGTTGATATGTAACGTGCAACTGAATCAGATCGAGAATAAATTATATTTGCTGCTGTAAATGATCCACTGAATATCTCCATCACTTTCGCGTTTATAATATAATTAGAATTAAAACAAATCTACGACAGTTACAGAATAGTGCGGGGCGAAACAGAAAGCTAAAATATCGTATTCCATCATCTAATAAAAATTGGTGTACACATTGCATAACAAAAAATACAATTTAGTTGAGAATTTCCTTTCTGAAGTCGGTTAAAAAATGAGTTTTATTATGTGGTAGCTTAATTCCGTGGCGCTGCCTGGGTAGAATGCAGTTTATGAAATTTCTTGATGATAATCTAGCCATGCATAGCAAAAGGAAATTAAATCACTCAAGAATATTTTGAAAGATTTACTAAAGGAAAGATTTCTAATGTTACCATTATAAACAATTAAAAATTAAAAATCCTACCTCTTTACAATATTAGTATTGATGTACTAGTTCGGATCCGGATAAGCGTGAAATAGAATTACATAATACATAGATAAATAGAATAGTATGAAAGTGGCACCGGTGTCAGAGAGGTTGACGAGTAATCGTCTATCATGGTATGGACATGTAATGCGTAGGAACGAGGATAATATTTTAAGAAAGATGTTACAAATGAATGTGGATGGTTAGAAGGGCAGAGGAAGGCCGAAAAGGAGATGGATGGACTGTGTGAAAGATGATATGGTAAGAAAGGAAGTAAATAACGCGATGACTGCGAACAGGGATGAATGGAAGCGAAAAACATATTACGCCGACCACAAATAAATGGGATAAGGAAGAAGCAGATGATGATAATAGATAAATAGACCACCCAGACCAATAGAAACAATCACACCTAAATACAATTGTTCGAATCCTGTGAAAATCAAATCCTATCTTTCGGGCTACTCTACTGTTGTAATAGCTTCAAAAAAAGACAGATGTCCATACACTTGGATAGCACTTTTAATTATTTAGACTAATGATAAAAGGCCAAAGAAAAAAGTTTCAACTTTGTAGCTTCAAAAATATCAAATTTCTATGCAAATTTTTATGTCTGTCAATCCATTATTAAGAAGTAGTCAGGGACTAGACTCTAGACTATCTGTGTACCAAATTACATTTAAATAGCTTCAGTAGTTTTGGCGTGAAAGCGCGACAGACTGAGTTCATTTCGCATCTATAATATTAGTAAGGATCATAGCATCTAGATAGTGTGTTTTTTTTCGGACTACTCTAATGCTGTTGGCCGCAGCTGGCCTTTACAGCTTCACAGGACGATAAAGGGCGAGTGCAGATGACACTCCAAACCAAAGGTAGGACTTATGTAGCGGCTGAAGACCAACTCCCGCCTGACGGATACGACTTTAGTCTGAGGGCACCGCTAAGGGTTCGAAACTCGGCTCAGGACGTCGTAATTTCGAACCCCGTTTCTCGTGATCATCGGAAGTAAGGCGGAGTTCTAAACCACAGAATCATAGAGGTCGTCAAAAATATGTACTTACAATCTGGTCCATATCTTGTGATGGGCAAAGTGGTGCGAATGGCGGAGTGCCAATAGAGCTCGCTGGCACCACATCGCGGTGTCAGGTTCACCCACTGAGTCACGGGTGTGGTACAGCCATTCTAGCATCTGCAAGCATGTTGAACAAACCCTTCATATCTTCATAAATATTCTTTATTCTAATAAACTTAGTATAACCTCTTTTGAATAATCAGATTTTTTATTTCCGTTCAGTGTAAAGCTGTACATTACGACTCCGTGTCGAGTTGTACGCGTTACTAATAAGTCATGTAACACACTAAAGCATAAACTCACTAGTGTAGTAATTATTTCACCTGTATACTCACTACGTACATACTAAAATAAACAATAAATTATGTAGCGACACCTCATCACATCATATATAACGTTACAGTGGTGAGGTGATAACTGTCGCATTACACATCTTCAATTTTTTGAACCAAATATTACTAACAATACTAGTTAATATTTTTCATTCTTTAAAATCCGGCTCGAAGGACGCATTAATAGTCCTTCGAGCCGGATTGTAAACAAACAAATAGATATCTTACATGCACCGTGCAGTCGGTCCAGGCTTCCCGTGCGAATAACGCTGCACAAGCAGCTGGCAGCAGCGCCCGCCGACTGTTGGCGGTCAGCTGCTGTACAGCATCAGGACACAGCGCCCAGTGACCACAAAACGTCACCACGCTTAATATCAACACGTCGCATAGATACACTTTTGCCGATATGTCCACCGTTCTGAAAGCAATTCAGACAGATGGAGTAATCCGAGGTATTGTCAACTGTGAACGCAACACTTGACATGTCGGGAGGTGAGTCTGCCGCTGTACCTCCTTTTTTTTATATAGATAGATAGATAAACTTTTAATTACGTTAAAAAGCACACATATGTTACAGTAATATAAAGAAAAATGTAAAAATACAAAAAAGATGTAAATTAGTTGGTTTAACTTTTAAAAGTCAACTTAAAAATTAATTCCCACTTTTTTTTTTAAAAGATTATTGAAAATAATTTCTGAATTGAACTTACTCATTGAAAGCCACTTGTGTTCGAGCCATGAGCTGGAGAAACCACTCCCTGGTGGAAGGCTCGTCAGGTTTAGCAGCCTTTAGTGGATCCATCATACATTTTAATGAGAATTCTTGTCCGCTGCAAAGAGCAAACTTTTTATTGAAACTGTAGTTTGTTTTTAGTAGAATGTTGGAATATTCCAGTGAAATAATTATAATAATACACCGGGACAATTCACACAAATTCACTTGATATAAAACACGATAACTAATATAAATAGATTTTTTTTCGTAAATACATACATAGAGAACACCCAGACCGGTACAAACAATCATACCTACTCATGAACACAAATGTTTGTGCCGTGCGAGGAAACCAACCCGCGACCATCGGAAGTAAGACGGTGTGCTAAACCGCTAAACCACCGAGTCAATCAAATGAATGAATGACAAAAGCTATATTCATTATTTGAATAAATATTTAATATTTGTATTGGCTCACGTAATATCCTGCGCCTGCGCATCTATGAGTTCGTTGAGCCACACGAGAGATGATGAGGCGGAGGCTGCAGCGCATCTCACGTCTGCCGCCTTCCGCAGCAGTTCCGGTGACGTCTCCCACCAGGAGCTGGGCAAGGTCATCCTCTCCAGGTACTTGGATGACAGTGACCGGGTAGTGTTCACGTACGCTGGCCATGCCTGTCATAACCCAGAGGTAGAGTATACAGAACGTGGCCATTTTTTTTTATGGATGACAATAAAACGGTGCACCCGCGTGTGCTAACGGTTTACGCTGGCGGGGCACCAGTGGAGGATGATAAGATGAGCATGAGCTCAGGTCAGTTAGCCCATCGTGACATATTCACCACGATGGATGAAATTTATCACGATGGTCCAGGGGGAACCGTGTGGAGGTCAATGACATGGTACATTGCTAACAATAAGATCATCAATCCACATTTCTAGGAATCCCCTTTCCCCCCAACGTGGAAATTAATTCTTTTATTAAAAACGACATTGCTTTATTTAGTTCAATTAACAGATTGTCTATGAAAAATAAATATATAAAAAAAGTTGCGAAATAAAAAATATACCCGATAAATATGACTAAACATTTAGTTATATCTATTTATAAATATTTATCGGAATAACAAATCAGCTTTAATAATAATAAAGCTCTTATCAGCCAGACCATTTATAAAAGAAAAAATTATGACTGTAATTTCATTGTATATCTACCACAGCTTATTGACTATACACGATAAAAGCAATGAGTTAAATAAGATTTCCGATAATCATAATTACCATACGCGTAATAAAAAGGCAATATACAGTTGCCTAAAACAAGACTTGGTAAAACTTTTAAACAAGGCATTAGTATAAAAATCAAAATGTATAATAACCATATATGTATGTAAAATAAACTACCTATGCACCATAAGAGAATTACCCCCAAAACAATTCAAAACTAAAATAAAATCTTTTTTTGAAAAATAACCTTTTTATAATATTACCGAGTATTTATACCTAAATATAATTATGTCGTAATTATGAGTACGAAACATATTATGTTATTAGTTATTATTAATGTAATTTTATTAATTAATATAATTTTATTTAAAAATGTAATTTTGTTAATTAATGTAATTGTAATTGGATTGAATTTATATAAATATGAATTACTGTATGTTATACTATATGACTTGCTATATATGTAAAGAAGTTTTTTACATTGGTTAATAAACGAAATATGAAAAAAAATATATATATAAAAAGTTAATGACACAACAACGGAAATAATAATAATAATGTTTCGGCCGTAAGAGTGGTAAAAAACCAGTAAAAGCTGAGTGTGGGCGATAAAGGAAACCAGGGAATTGCAGGATACATATATATATTGTATATCATAAGAGTATATTACAAAGAAACACTACTAAATAGGGCCAGGAAGGGAAACCGAAAGGAATCATAGAAAACAGCGACAATTTAGAATATAATTTTGGTATTCGAAATATAAAGCTTATAAAATAGGCCATAGACTAAATATTCTAGGCCTATATTCCACACTGAGAAAATGCGACGTTTTATTTGACATTGATAAATGTTAGCACATTTTTTACATAATTTTAACAGCAACTTAGCACATTTTGTATTATTAGTCGTGTTGGCAACACTGACTTTACTTTGACCTTAGGACATTCTAATATCTATGTGTGTCGTTCGTTTAATTCAAACTTTTGTGACACTGCTACATTTCATTTTATCTGACAATAACAGATAAAAATCTTTATCATTTCTTTGTGTTGTGATATAAGATTAGGATAATAGTACTTATGCTGTACGTAATAAGTTTCATGATGTTTTTGATAATAACAAATCATTGTTTGATAAACTTGTTAGTGGTAGAAAGTATTTTTTGTATTCTGGTGCTAAAATTTATGAAATAAGAAACTATATTGCTATATAAACATTGACTATATATAATTTGATTTATATTTTATTTCTGTGGCATCCTGCTTAGTGTTTAATATTGTAAGACAATAATTATATTACTTACTAGCTGTACTCGCGACTTCGTCCGCGTGGAATTTAACTTTATTTTTCTAAATTAAAACTAGCCTAAGTTACTCTTTATTACATCAGCAAGCTGCCAAAAAAAAAGTCCCTTCAAAATCGGCCCAACCATTTCAGAGATAGCCGGAACAAACAGAGAGACAGCCAAAAATTTTAAAAAATGTTCGTTTGGTGTATGTACTGTATTTATATTCATATGCATGTATTAAAAAACGGTTATTTCAATATTACAAACAGACATTCCAATTTTATTTATATGTATAGACATATATATTCCACGCCTGATTTAGATAATAATTATTGGAATGCTATATTTAATTTGGGAAATAATAACATGTCTTGTGTTTTCTACATGTATCTTTGAATTACAATTCAAAAGAACATCTATAAGGTAATTATAATATGGGGTATTAGAAGCCTGAAGTAAATAAATAAATTACTAAATTAACGAGGGCAAAGAAGTCAAGTATATTCAATGCCATGGCGTGCCCTAATGCATCTAATGGTATGTCATTCATTTGAAACACAACAGAAGAAAACTCATGTACAGACAGGTGTACCCATACCCATGCAGACTATTGCACAATAACACAGATTTTTTTTTTTTTGTTGTAGACAAATATACAGATACAAAAGTAAACATTAATAGTGATATTAAAATATATATATATATATAAAATGGAACTCCTTGATTATGTTTATTCGATCAATGGTGAAATCTTTGAACCTGTATATCAACCATTGAAAAAGTATCAAGAAGTTAGTATATATGCTGAAAAATTGGATACAATAAACTTTTGCAAAATGGCCGAAACTGATGAAGATTGTGCGCTACCTGATGGTGAGGAATCCAGTGAGGGTATGTTAAATGATTGTCATTAAAAATTAAACTTAATAAATAAAATGAATGTCGAATTTCACAGTTTATCTGTTGCTATTTGTGAAAACCTCTCAGTGGTTTACATAATCATAATCATGAAGTGCGTAGCGATTTCTATCAACATAGAAACTGCAGGCCTCTTACTTGTTATTGTGTAGTCATTACCATAGTATTATTATTATCATAGTATAAAACATAGTCGCTGTCGCTGTCTGTCCGTCCCTATGTATGCTTAAATCTTTAAAACTACGCAACGGATTTTGAAGCGGTCCTTTTTAATAGATAGAGTGATTCAAGAGGAAGGTTTATATTTATAATACATGTACACCCACCCGTGCGAAGCCGCGGTGAGTGACTAGTTATTTATATAAAAAAATAATCACAAGAGCAACACGTTTCTCGCTCATTTCTTCTTGTGAAGAATCTGCATTCTGAATGAGTGGTAAATTAAAAAATATGGCTATTTAAAAGTGTTTTTAAAACTGAGTTTACTTCAATAAAGATTATTTCTATATTTATTCTAAAAAAACGCTAGTTTTTATATCGACTCAATATGTGTATAGTAAGCCTAGGTTTTCCTTTAATAAATAAATAAATAAAATATTATTTATTTCAGATATGCCAACGAGTGAAGATGGAGTATTTAGTATAGTGGGAGTAAATGGAAATGAAATGGGAGAAAACAAAATTATATTGGGAGATAACGAAATTAAATTGGGAGAAAGCGAAATTAAATTGGTATCAAATGAGATTGTATCGGATGATGAAATTAATGTGACAAATAGTGAGGACTCGTTTGAAGCGTCTTTAGATACCGAAGCGAAATTGTTTGTACTACTGGATTCTTATTATAAAATCACTTTGACATCTTACAACTCTATGGCTGCTACGGGCAGCGGATCGAGACATTGCTTTATTTGTAATACAGAAGTTGAGCCTGATGTTTTCAAACAGCACATAGATCATCATGATCATAAGAATAACATGCAGAAATATAAATTTCTGGATAAATACAAGAATAATTTAATTAGACAAGTAAGTATTTTCTCTAATATATATATGAGGGTAATTCACATAGAGTCATCTAGTCACAAGCTAATCAGAGCTTGTGTTATGGGTACTAGACAACTGATATAATTTTCACTCTTTTTTCTTTCTTTACACTTCAAAATAACTTATAAATATTAATTTTCGATTGTGCCACAAAACTATTTAAGAATAAAAAAAGCTGGCAACATCGTTAATGTCAAATTTGTCTCTGAGATAAAAAGCAGACTATCATCCTCGAGGGGCTAAATCGCCACGAAGAGCTAACTGAGGGAGGGATCCAAGTAGGGTATATTTGGGGGATATAAAAAAGAATTTTAACAAAAAACCAAAAAGAAACGCCAAATATGGCACTAGTTAAGCTGTTGTATAATGTCCCAATACCTTAATTTTTTTGTTTAATTTTGTCAATATAAAAAGGTCTTAAAACCAGTCCCCTAGTCGTTGTTGCCTCCGGAGTCGACACCGGGGCAAAGGGCCTTGCCCCGAGCCTCAACGTGCACCCTCTTAGGAGTGTGTCCCTTCGGATAACCCGTTTCATTCATTGCTAACTGACATGATTTCATGTTCATCCTATCATTCCCTATTAGTACCCCGCCAGTGTAAAACTAGAAGTAGGAGCATGCACTATTCCTTGGACAACTATTAAAAACTTACTTTAATTTTATTTTCAATATTCCTTGGATACCTCCATTACAAAATACTGACTGCATTTTTTATTTTCAGAGCCGCCTGACCTACCACTGTGCCATATGCAATGTTATTGTCTACCGTTCTGATTTACCTGCACATTTAGAATGCAACCCTCATAAGCAACTTATGAAACAAAATAGCGCCATTACGAAAAAACAACGCAAAAACCAAATGAAAGCTGGCCTCGCACTATATAAAGTTGAAACACAAAACGAAGTTATATACAAAAAAATGAAAGAAAAACAAATCATATTCCATTTGAGAGCTATTATCACAGACTGACACTGATCATCCGCAACCTCCTAGGGGGGTGAAGGTTGGAGCCTCGGGGCGAACCCCTTTGCTTCGGCAACCACGGGGGCAACCCCAGTAATACTTTTAAAGTAGACATAACCAAATTTAAGAAGTAATGCCATGCTTCGAGACCAATGTGTTTTGATAATAATAATTGCAAATCCCCTCCTCTACAATAGACCTATTACAAAAAGCCGTCACTCTCAACACATGCCGTATTGTACGGATATTTCTGTCGTCTTCACTTTCATCATCCTTAAATAACTTTTAAACTCATCCACGCTTGGCTAAGGCCCGCGTGCTTGATTGTATTACCCCTGTAAAAAAGGAGATATATAATATATCTTATATATAAAATTCTCGTGTCACAGTTTTCGTTCCCATACTCCTCCAAAACGGCTTGACCGATTCTCATTAAATTTTGTGAGCGTATTGAGTAGGTCTAAGAATCGGCCAACATCTATTTTTCATCCCCCTAAATGTTAGAGTTTTTCATCCCCCTAATTTCTTTTTTATTTTAAGGCAAAACAACGTTTGCCGTGACAGCTAGTATTATACATACATAAAATAATAATAATAATAATTTTTATTTTGCATCCAATATTTACAATTTAAATTGTTCCCTGGTACCCAAACTAAGTAGAAACTTGTATTTTAGGTACCAGGTGTTTTGTTTTTTGAAATTATATATTTCCTTTTTTAGTATTTTTTTTTAGTTTTATGTTTTCAGATAATACTGCAGCAGTTAAGAAGAGTTAAATTCTCATTCCCCGCCAGTTTATTACTTGTGATATTTAACATAGTGTGTTCCTTTTTTCTGTATATATCTTTACATAGTATAAAATAAAGTCGATTCCTCTGGCTGTTTACTCAGTTCTATTAAACTACGCAACGGATATTAATGCAGTTTCTAGCAGTAGATAGAGTTGGTTTATATGTATAATATAATAATAATAATATAATAATATCAGGACCATTCACACAGCGCCATCTAGGCCCAACTTAAGCTACATAAAGCTTGTGTTATGGGTACTAGATAACTGAAAAAAAATATCTATGTATCTGTACATTTTTTTTGTAAATAGATACATATTATACATAGAAAACACCCAGACCGATACAAACAATCACATGAATACAAATGTTTGTGCCGTGCGAGGAATCGAACCCGCGACCATCGGTCGTAAAGCGGTGTGCTAGACCGCTAGACCACCGAGGTCGTCAATATATGTACACCTGTGAAAATCCAGGACAGATAATTTATTTTTTTTATAAATATTAACTCACCACATTATCGTCCGATATTAGTGAGAAGTAATGCTCCACGATCTGAGATAACAGCGTACTGTTCGCATCGTGTATCCTCTCAGCCTCCAAGCATTGCCGTATCATGGCTAGTTGTTTAACAAACATGCATTCTTCCTCATTTTTCTTCACTCTGATTGTGGTGGAGAAGGATTCGCTGAGACACTGTTCTATGGGTCCTCGCAGTGAATTTGGAGGCAGTCCCCGGCATAGTATCGGTAGGATATCAAATACTTGCATTATTTCTGAATCCTACAAATATATAATAATAATAATAATACACATACAGAAAAAAATACTAAGTATACTGATCTAGCAATAGAACTAAAAAAGCAATGGCAGGTAGAAAAAGTAAAAACTCTCCCAATTATTATCTCGTCCACAGGTGTCATTCCAACATCCACATCCACACTCTAGCCTTGAAATATTACAGCTTCACCCACTTACTTTCATACTTCTCCAAAAAGCTGTAATTCTAAACACCTGTAGAATAGTCCGCAAATTTTTGTCATCATAATCATTTATTTTATAATTGTTATTGTTTGATGATATTCACCCGCAATGACAAGTTTAACACCCCATCAAAGGGAGATATATAATATATATATATATAAACAACAATAACATCATATTATACAAACACTAAATATTGGTACTAATAAAACATATCTGCTTCAAAAAACCACAATGCTGAATATCTGTCGCATTACAAATAAAATTTCTAACTTCCACAGTAATAACCTCTCCCACACTTGGCTAAGGCCCCTCCGATCCATCCCCCGTCCAATTCAAACGGGGACCGATGTTACGATGGCCTGAGCCGAGGATCGAACCCCTAGCGGTGCCCTCAGACTAAAGTCGTATCCATCAGGCGGGAGTTGGCTTTCAGCCCTCCATAAGTCTTTCCGCGGATTTGGAGTGCCATCTGCACTCGCCCCCTATCGTCCGGTGAAGCTGTAAAGGCCAGCTGCGGCCAACAACATTCCGTCCGAGTAGTCCGAAAAAAAACTTGGCTAAGGCCCGTGGGGTGTGGGTGAGTATCACCTTCTTTTAAACAACAGAAAAGAAAAAAGAATAATAATAATCTTGGATAATTCACACAGCGCCACCTAGTCCCAAGAGAAGCACAACTTGTAATATAGGTACTATACAAGACAACTGAACAAATACAATATAAAAACATACATTTTTGTAAATACATATAAATTAATAACCAGCGCCATCTAGTCTCACGGTAAGAAGAACTTGTCTCACGGTAAGCAGAACTTCTGATATGGGTACTAGACAACTGATATAAATACGATTTTTTTTGTAAATACATAGATAATATACATAGAAAACACCTAAATAAAAAACCAATACAAACAATCATACTCAAGAATACAAATGTTTGTGTCGTGAGAGGAATCGAAACCATCGGATGTTAAGTGGTATTCTAAACCGCTAGACTACCGAGGCCGTTCAATTTTATATATAAAAAATATTAACATCTGTAAACAACAATAAATACAAAAATACAAACATTATCATCTGCTTCTTCCTTATCCCATTTAATTGTGGTCGGCGTAATATGTTTTTCTCTTCCATTCATCCCTGTTCGCAATCATCTCGTTATTTACTCACCATATCATCTTTCACACAGTCAATCCATCTCTTTTTAGGCCTTCCTCTTCCTTTATAACCATCGACATTCATATGTAACACCTTCTTTAAGATATGATCTTCATTCCTACGCAGAACAGGAGTAGGTTATAAGGTCAGAATACTCACATCAGTAGTGCCAGGATCTATGCCCTGCAGATAATTCTCCAGGAACCTCCTCGCTGATGGAGAAGTCTGCGCTTGCCTGGCAGCCAACTTGATGCAGCCAGCCCGCCATAACGTGCCACGGTGGAAGGTCTCATGTAGAAAGCACAGGTCCATCGGAGGGAACGGCTTACAGTAGTCCTCGTTGAGGGTGTGCAGAATAGAGAGGAGGACTGCATCAGGGAATTCGAAGGATGGGGACGTGACCTATAAACAAACACCAACTTGAGGGCCGGCAACGCGCACGTGACACCCCTGTTCAACGCGTCCATAGGCTACGGTAACCATTTACCATCAGATGGACCGTATGCTTATTTGCCAGCAAATGGTATAAAAAAAATTGTAACATCACCGATTGCTATCAATGTACCATGTAAGGTTGATCTCCACACTTCCCCCTGGAATCGTGATGAATTCGTGGTGAATTTACCACGATGGGCTAACTGACCTGGCCTCAGTGGCGTAGCTACCTAGGAACTAGGCGGAGCAGTACCCCCGGGCCCTCAAGCTCAGGGGCCCTCGAACACTTACCAGAAAATCTCGATCCAACTGAAGTTTTCAAAATTCCTCCCAATTTTAAAATAAATATGACAGGTTGTAACCCGACTTAAATCATGGCAACTCAGTTGAGAGAAATTCGAAAGTTATACTTAATTCCCCTAAATTCTTTCTGTTGGTTGGCAGTGTTGTTAATTTTATGGATAGCAGTATGTGCGTTTTAATAACACTGTAATGTGTAAAGGGGGCAATGGGGCCCCACCGTTCATCAGTGGAACCCCATTATTTAATTTGCTCTAGGGCCCTTGGTTATCTAACTACGCGACTGCCTGGTCTCTATAATTTATTTTACCATTCTATTCTAGCGCCATCTACCACTATTACTACTACTAGCTACCACCTTTTGTCTTTTATCCTCTACCCAAAGGTTGTCTGGAAGAGATTGCGTAAGCGATAAGATCGCCTTTTGTACCTTATTACTCTAGTATATCTTATTAATGTTATAAACGCGAAAGTTTGTAAGTATGGATGTTTGTTACTCTTTCACGCAAAAACTACTTCACGGATTTTGATGAAACTTTACAGTTAACATCAGAATAACTTATCATTACATAGTATTAAACAAAGTCGCTGTTGCTATCTCTCCCTATGCATGCTTAAATCTTTAAAACTACGCAACGGATTTTGAAGCGGTTTTTTAAATAGATAGAGTGATTCAAGAGGAACGTTTATATTTATAATTCATGTACACCCGTGCGAAGCCGGGGCGAGTAGCTAGTAGGCTATATTTCACGTTGAAACCGCGGGTACAGCTAGTAAATAAATAAACACCCCTCTATTTTGAAGTCGGTTAATTGTAGCACGCACCTGAGTCCTGAAGCAGTGCAGCAACCCTCGTAGCACGGAGTGCGGGTGGAGGACAGCCAGCGACGGCAACGGCGGCTCGAGACGCCCGTCCAGCTGGTACGCGCCGCTGCGGAGACCGCGGACCTCGCGCTCTATCAAGTGCCGTGCCAGACGACCCACGCCCGCGAGTGCCGCCTGGTTGCTGTATTTGTATACCTCTGGCCACACCTCGCCTAGACGATATTTATTATTGATGATAATGGAATGATGCACCCGCCTGCGCTAACGGTTTACGCTGGCACCAGTGGAAGATGATAAGATGAGCATGAGGTGAGATCAGTTAGCTCATTATGACAAATTCACCAGGAATTTGTAATGGTGGTTTCCAGGGGGAACCGCGTGGAGGTCAACCTGAGTTGGGACATCGTCGTAGATATATTGCTAGCAATGTATCTAGTCTTCAGTTCACATTACTTAGCCTTTAAAATAATCAAATATTTATGTCTAGGGAGGGGTCCCTAGACTAATAAATAAATATTTGATTATTTTTATATACATATTTTTTCTTATCTATATAAATAAAATTGATATGTATCTTTGTCCCCGTGTTATTTGGGGGAATGTTATATGAGGAATTGAAATGTCGTAATATGAAAATGCGTTTTTTTTAAGGATGATAATGGAATGGTGGGCCCGCCTGCGCAAACGGTTTACACTGGCGGGGCACCAGTGGAGGATGATAAGATGAGCATGAGGTCAGGTCAGTTAGCTCATTATGACAAATTCACAAGGAATTTGTAATAACAGTTTCCAGGGGGAACCGCGTGGAGGTCAACCTGACTTGGGACATCGTCGTAGATATATTGCTAGCAACGTATCTAGTCTTCAGATCACATTACTAACAATTGCCTTTAAAATAATCAAATATTTATGTCTAGGGAGGGGTCCCTAGACTAATAAATAAATATTTGATTATTTTTATATACATATTTTTTTTTATCTATATAAATAAAATTGATATGTATCTTTGTCCCCGTGTTATTTGGGGGAATGTTATATGAGGGATTGAAATGTAATATGAAAATGCGTTTTTTTTTTTTAAGAATGATAATGGAATGGTGGGCCCGCCTGCGCTAACGGTTTACACTGGCGGGGCACCTATGGAGGATGATAAGATGAGCATGAGGTCAGGCCAGTTAGCCCATCGTGACAAATTCACCAAGAATTTATCACGATGGTTTCCAGGGGGAACCGCGTGGAGATCAACCTGACATGGTACATTGTTAGTAATGGAGTCATGAATCCACATTACTAACAATCAACTCCTCACTCCTCCCCATGAAAATGCGTTATAGGAGTACCGTGTTATAGAGGGAATTACTATATGTAGACGACGTCATGTAATCCGTTAGTTCGTTTGCCATCGAATTAAAAAAAACACAATCTAAAGTCAAATTATCGATCTATCACTCGATGTTTTGTTAAGCACTAAATTGATACCACATTGTGGTATCACCTTCCAGCAATGGTATTTCCGAACCGATACGATATTGAAACCTTCAAGAAGAGAGCTTATTCCTTTTTAAAAGGCCGACAACGCACTTGCAATTCCTCTGGTGTTGTGGGTGCGGCGGTAATCATTTACCATCAGGTGAACCGTCAGCTCGTTTGTCCCCTGTGCTATATATGTTAGGGTTCACATCAATATGACGACCTCGGTGGTCTAGCGGTCTAGTCTACCGCTTTACGACCGATGGTCGCGGGTTCGATTCCTCGCACGGCACAAACATTTGTATTCATGAGTATGATTGTTTGTATCGGTCTGGGTATTTTCTATGTATAATATGTATGTATTTACGAAAAAAAAAAATATCATGTATTTGTATCAGTTGTCTAGGACCCATAACACAAGCTTTAGCTAGCTTAACTTGGGTCTAGATGGCGCTGTGTGAATTGTCCTGAGATTATTATTATTATTATTATTAATATTGTAGAAAAATGTGATATTTCAAAAAGATATTAAAAGAAGGTAGTTTATGTTTAGTACTAATGCAGTGTTAAATGTAAAGATTATTACAAATATTGTGAATAGCGCCATCTAGTATTTATGAACCGAACTAAGATGTTTGTCATAAGATATTCGTTACCCCCCACTTCTCTCCCTACTACACTGACTTCAGTCTATAATTACAGAAGTCGGTAGTTGAATAATTCTCCCCTTCCGATCGATCCCCCGTCCAATTCAAACGGGAACCGATGTTACGACGGCCTGAGCCGAGATTCGAATCCCTAGCGGTGCCCTCAGATTAAAGTCGTATCTGTCAGGCGGGAGTCGGCCTTCAGCCGCTCCGTAAGTCCTTCCTTTGGTTTGTAGTTCCATCTGCACTCACCCCCTATCGTCCGGTGAAGCTGTAAAGGACAGCATAAGAGTACTCCGAAAACAAAAGTAATACTCCTTCGTTGAATAAGCCACGGCATTCAGTCGACAAGCACAGAACGTGCTAGTTGTACTTCGGATACTAAAATGAATTGTATTGGAGACGGGTTTATCCCGGATTTAGTTGGGCCTGGGGGAAGCTACAAGTAGTGAAGGTGAGTGTTAATGCATTCTAAAAGGGCCTTTTAAACCTACACCCGTGTCACAAGTCACGGGCGCTACTTGGGGTTTCTCTTCCAGAAGCCGGCTTCAGGATACTAAAGTGAATTGTATTAGAGACGGGTTTATCCCGGATTTAGTTGGGCCTGGGGGAAAGCTGCAAGTAGTGAAGGTGAGTGTTAATGCATTCTAAAAGGGCCTTTTAAACCTACACCCGTGTCACAAGTCACGGGCGCTACTAGGGATTTCTCTTCCGGCTTCACTACCTAAGTCGTCATCATAATTAGTGGTTGTTACATCTAAAACAAAATATGATACATAGAGATTCATTATTCATCCAGATTTGAAATTACTCACTGGGCACGTAATCCAAAACGTCTTCGGGATTCCTCGCTGCGTCCGCGGGAGTCTTGCAGTACGACGCCGGTAGTTTCACTGTCCTTCTATATATCTATAATATTTAAAATAAAATAACAATTATTTGCATAATAGACTGTACACGCGACTTCGTCCGTGTGGAATTTAACAAAAAAATTAATGAGAGATTTTTTTCTAAAATAAAAGTAGCTTTTAAGTTACTCCTAATTACATCAGATACCTGCCAATGAAAGTCTCGTCAAAATCGGTACAACCATTTACGAGATTACGGGAGTGTCTGTGTGTAATAATGAAATAACCGTTTTTTACTACTATGCATATAAATACGGTACATACACCAAAATAACACTTTTTATATGTCTGTCTGTTTGTTCCGGGTAATCTCGGAAATGGCTGAACCAATTTTAACGGGACTTTTTTTGGCAGGTAGCTGATATAATAAGGAGTAACTTAGGCTACTTTTATTTTAGAAAAATAAAGTTAAATTCCACGCGGACGAAGTCGCGGGTACAGATAGTCATCAATAAAGAAAAATTAGTTAGTACTAGAATATTATAATCTCACCTCTGGTACATCTTTAAGCTTGTAATCGTCTATTTTGTAAGCGGCAAGCGCGTCACAGGCCGCTTCAACAACCTCGGGGTGGTTGGACTCAGCGATGTAAGACCATAGCTTCCTCGCTGTATCGCTCAGTAACTTGTCATATTCAGGAGTCTGCACCCGTAGTGCTGGCACTTCTGACAGCAGCTTGCATAAGCTGGAAGCATTTAGTAAAGTATAAACTTCACTTCTGTTTGGTAACAGCATCGTAAACATTCTTACTAATATTATAAATTTGAAAGGGTTGTTTATTACTCTTTCGCGCAAAAACTACTGAACCGATCATCATGAAATTATGTACACATGTTCTTGGAGGTATTAGAATGAATATAGGATACGTTTTATTTAAAAACAAAAATTTTTTTATACCTAATAAACAAAAAAAAAATAAAATATCAGCATTTTGCTACTTCAGCCAGTAATGAAGTTATTTTTATGGATTTTATGTGAGTGAAGCCGCGGTTGAAAACTAGTAATTTAATAAATATTTATTCTTTTGTAAAAAATGATACGATAACCCGAAATGCAATGCTCAGATCAGTTCCGATTTTGATAAATCGGAACTGATCTGAGCATTGCTTGACATCAAAGATCGACACCGAGCAGCAGGTCCACACAAATGTACTATATGTATAAACACATGTATAGAATGTAGTTTCTACCATTTATTCTTATACAATTAATGTGACCAATGCTTTGTTGCAGTTGATTAATAGTAGGAAGGGAGAGAATGTAACCTGATCTGCATGGCGGGCCTGCGGTCGGGCCCCAGCTTGGGCTCCAGGGCCCTCCAGGTCCCGGGCGGCGCCACCGCCGCGCCGCGCCACAGGCAGCCCAGCGCATGCAGCGCCCGAGACCCCACCACACCACCGCCGCCACCGCCGCCACCGCCACCACGCTCCGTGCACCGGTTCAGGATCGACGATATCGTAGGCACCAACTCCAACCCGTGGCTCGACGGCCTGTGGAGTACCGTTGCCTTTTAAAAACATCAATTTAAAAAAAATGTGCTAAGGTAGCGATTAGTATTAGATGGAAAAAGTTTTTATTTGTAGTAAAAGTCACACACAAGGTAATATAAAAAGAAAAAGAAACTAAATAAAGTAAAAAGTAAAAAGTATATAAACTGCCAAAGGTAATGACAATATAAGGGTAATACTTGTTAGGCAAATGATAGGCACCACATTCCTTGTACTACTTACTTAAAGCATACATGCCTATAACAGTGTGGGCTGATCCTTTTGCCTTTCCCTGAGATGTCAAACAGAAATAAAAAAAAATTAATTGTCTATAGCATTGTCCCCATTCATTCCTAATTTAGGACCCACACTGTCGGTGGAGTTCTTGCCACTTTCCATGATCTATCTCATGACTATCATTACATATTGTCCCCGTGCAGATGAAATGTATTATTAATCTTTTTCACTTAAGTTGCTTACCTAATTTCACATATCCTCTCGACGGCCAGGGCTCTAGCGATCTCCACTTCCCAGCTGAGTTCGTCAGGCCGCCCCGTTCCAGTTTCCGCCAGTATCTCTTGCAGATACGGGAAGCAACGCACCTGCAATATTCAATTTATTGATTTGTAATAAAACATTAACAAAATTTACAAAAATCTGTGTTTATCTGTGTTGGAGTTGTGGACTTTGGGTTTCGTCCTTAGTCATTCGTGTCTGCTTGGGTAGGCTTCGTGGCAGAAGTGTCGAGGGCGATAAGATCAACCCGTTTATAACCAATTAACTTATATTTGGAATTATTTACAGTTAGAAACGATGTTAGCTCAACGATGGCGTTCGGCAGAGAGAGAGAGTTGCCAACATACAAATTTAAATGTAAATTATTATTAATGTTGCCAACAATCTCTAATTGTCATATTGAACTTATTATTAAATGTCAACGAAACGATTCTTTTCAGTTAATACTACTGTTAAACTAATCTTCGACACTCAATGTCTTGTTTTTTAGTAATAATGTATTATATATAAGTTTTTTTAATCACTGTATGTGTCAAAATAAAGAGAAAAAAAAACAATTATCGTATTCAATAAAATTAAAAAGTATCTTTAAAATTGAGCCAATGTTATAATAAGCCCGGACAATTCCCAGCGCAATCTAGTCCCAAATTAAGCACAGCTTATGTTATTATTGGTACTAAACTACTGATAGAAATACTTATATATTAATTTTTACATCCAAATCAATACAAACAATCATACTCATGAATATGAGAATTCCATACAAGATACATACAAATATTTGTATCATATCGAATTGTTAGGAACTCAATAATAAAATGTTTGAAGATCCCGTGATTTTTACTAATTATTCGTATAAATAATGACAGTGTCAAATTTAAATTGAGTATTTATTATCTAAAGACAGACAAGTCATCCATACTCTCCCAAGGGAAGGTGAAGGTTGGTTTAAAATTATATTACGGTCATAGTCACATTTAAGCAAAAAACGATATTTATAAGATATCTTAAGATATTTGATACACCATATTTCTTTTAACAAACTGTGATCAAAGTCACAATTGAAATTCCAAAAAGAAACTAATATTTTTTCATAGTCTCTCACCAACTGTTGGTTGTCATCTATGTGTTTTTATAATGTAGATGAATACCTTTCCCAAATGGTAAAAAAGTGACCATTCAAATTGACAGTTGTCTGTTGCATGTCAGAAATGTGCGGAACAAAATTTAAAATACCACAACCAATGTAGCACATTTTATGCAATAAAATTTAATTTAATTTCATAACTTCATTACATAGTATAAAGCAAAGTCGCTGTCGCTGTCTGTCCGTGCCTTACATAGGCATTTAAATCTTTAAAACTACGCAACGGATTATGAAGGTTTTTTTAAATATATAGAGATAGTGGTTCTAGAGGAAGGAAGGAAGGAAGAGGTATATATAATACATGTACACCCATGCGAAGCCGGGTCGAGTAGCTAGTAAGGTATACACTATGTTTGGGGATTTTAACAAACTGTGATTAAAGTAACATTTTAAACTCCTAAAAAAACTATTATTTTTTTATAGTCTCTCACCTGTGTTTCAGCTAAACTCGCATATAACATAATGAGGAAGGATGTTGGCGCTCCCTTGCCCGCCTTCAGCTTACTCAGGATAGACACTACAGTCGGTACATTTTCCTGTTAACATAAAAACTATATATATACTAGCAGTAGCCGCGACTTCGTGCGCGTGAAATTTAACTTTATTTTTCTAAAACAAAAGTAACCTAAGTTACTTCGGTCGGTCCATCCATTTCATTAGCCGGAACAAACAGACAGATAAAAATTATAAAAAATGATAATTTGGTGTATGTACCGTATTATATTCATATGCATGTAGTAAAAAACGGTTATATCAATATTACAAACAGACACTCCATTTTTTTTTATTTATTTATTTATTTATTCTTTTGCACACAAAAATGTATACAAGGCGGACTTAATGCCTGATGGCATTCTCTACCAGTCAACAGTCGCGTTGATCAGAGATAATAATAAGGCGGTGCAATTTAACAATTAATATATAAAGAAAAACAAATATGGATAAATACGGAAAAATAATATTATATATATTATTATATGCAAATATATAACTTACTAATATACCCGCATAAAACACATATACAATTACATAAATAAACAAAAATTAAGGCCTATTGATTACATACAAAATAATACATATATATGTATATATATACACACATACATATAATAAAATTATATTAAAATTGCATATATAGTCTCATGGGATATTCTGCAGTTAAAAGTTTGGCTGAATACTCTTACAGAAATTTTAAATAATGTTCACGCAATGATCTCTTCAAGGAGAATTTGGATTGACATCGTCTGAGGCCAACAGGAAGTGCATTCCAAAGATTGATAGCAGTAATAGTGAAAGACTGATAAGAGAAATTAGAGCGATGAGAAGGAGTATAAAGCAGGAGATTAGAAGAAGAGCGAAGATCACGAGAATGTGATGAACTAAGAAATTGAAATCTTTCTTTGAGGTACTGAGGAGATAGTGGATCGTATAGAACAGAAAAAAGTTGACAGAGAATTCTGACACTCCTGCGCTGGCGAATAGGAAGCCATTTCAGCTCAGAGCGGACGTGTGAGATATGGTCATACTTACGAAGACCGAATATGAAACGTATGCAATTATTGAGTAAACGATCCATTTTATTTAGGAAGTCTTGGTTAAGATTATTTTATTTATATGTATAGATATTTGTAATACATATTTATACTAATATATAATTGAGCAAAACATTTGTATCCTAAAAAGATAATCTTACCTTATATTTAGCTAATTTCGGTAATGCTCTCAAACACTCCAACTTTATACTTGGCGATTTGACATTTGCTATCTCATACAATAACAGCGGTAGCACCATGACTGACACCTCCTTCTTAACTCCTATCAACTCCACCACCACTCTCAAAGCCCTCAGGACCACCTCCTCAAACCAATCCTCCATCCTCTTCTCCAAACACACCCCGAGTAGAAACGGCAACAACTCAAATTTAAATGTGTCATCTACTTTTTCTATAGAATCAAACCAACTTTTCAATTTATCCGGATTATCTCTGACTCTCTCCCATGTCTCATTCAGTTTGAAGGTTATAGACAAATGGCTGTCCGTATAGAGTAATGATTGGAATATCTTATTAGTTTTTAAGTTGGGCATGTGTAGTCTGTTGTCTTTGGTGCTTGTTTGGTAGATGTCGAGTATTTTGGAGGCTATCTTCAGAGCTTCAGACGTGAGGTACGAGGGCAGATTGAGCCATTGTAATGACAGCGCAACGAACGCATTTAGTGATATCGTTGAGTGTTCATATTTATTTACAATATTAAGACCTGAAAATTAAAATAATTTAGATAACTAACTGCTACCTGCGGCTACGTCCGCGTGAAATTTCATTTTTTTTTTAAATGAAAGCAGTGAAATATAGCTTAAGCTAAGTTACTTTTCATGATATTAGTTATCTGCGAGTGAAAGTCCGTCAAAATAGACATTTCAGAGATTAGCAATATCAAACAGACAAACAGAACTTTTTTTTATGTAAGTACTATATTCAAACGGATTTTGTGAAAAGCTGTTTTTAAAATTACAAACAGACAATTAAATTTCATGTATTTGTACACTTTTCTAGAAGGTTTCAATATCGTATCAGTTCAGAAATAACACTGCTGGAAGGTGATTCACAATGTGCCTGGCAAGTTAGAAAACCCCACGATGGAGACATACAATAGAATAGAAAATAATTTATTCTAATAAACTTAATTTAAGCACTTTTGAATGGTCATAACAATTTTTTTAATCTACCGCTCATTTGGAAAACTGTCTCATCACAAGAAGAACGCCATTCATCCATATGATCAGGATGGTACTTTATGCAAAATATTCCAACACAACTTACACAAGTTGAAGAGTTCGTGCAGATGGAGTGCGGAGCTGATGGCGAGGTTTTCAGCCAGCAGTGCGATCACCAGGCCGGCCACGTTCCTCAACTGCGGCGCATCCAGAGCGAAGCAACGATCTATTAGTGTGTAGCAGGAGCGTGGATCTCGACTGTTTAAAACAATAGATTTGTTTTTATTTATTTCTTTCAGGCAACTTAATATTATTATATAACAACATTGGCCCATGAGAAAGGAAAATCAACTTTATGGTATTCGAGTTAGGGTCGATTTCTCTCTTTTTTTTAAATACTATTTTAATCTTACCAGTTTGGCAACTGGTAAGATTAAAATAGTATTTAAAAAAAAGAGAGAAATCGACCCTAACTCGAATTCTTCCCCTAAATCGTAGCTGTCTTCGAATACTGGCGTATTCGAAGACAGCTACGATTCGTACTCGATATTTAAAATTATTATGTAATCATTACACAGTATAAACTAGAGTCGCTGTCGCTGACTGACCGTCCCTATGTATGCTTAAATCTTTAAAACTACGCAACGGATTTTGAACCGTTTTTTTTTTAATAGATAGTGATTCAAGAGGAAGGTTTATATTTATAACACATGTACACCCATGCGTAGCCGGGGTGAGTAGCTAGTTATATACATATATATATCATAATATGTATATTATAAGTTTGAACATTATTAACGTTCTATTGTCAAATACTATACTTCTATAATGGTAAGCACTGGCAATCGTACAGGCAATATATATACATATATATTTGATGTATATTATAATCTATGTCTATATAAATTTAACATTTTTTCATTGCATGCCTAAATCCAGAAACCCGAGGGTTTCCGTGTTAGGAGTCAATGCCGGGGCAAAAGGGGTCCCGGGGCCCCAACACAATCCCCTAGTTAGATGCGGACGACCCATGTCAGTTAGTCCTTTCAATCTTTGTCAGGGTAGTTAACTTGATAACATCATCATCTGCTTCTTCCTTATCCCATTTATTTGGGGTCGGCGTAATATGTTTTTCCATTCATCTCTGTTCGCAGTCATTCCGTTATTTACTCCCTTTCTCACCATATCATCTTTCACACAGTCCATCCATCTCTTTTTCGGTCTTCCTCTACCCTTATAACCATCCACATTCATATGTAACACCGTCCTTAGGATATGATCTTCATTCCTACGCATTACATGCCCATACCACGATAGACGATTACTCTTTAACTTCTCTGACATCGGTGCCACTTTCATACTTCCTCTGATGTATTCATTCTTTATCTTGTCTATCCTCGTCACACCACACTTACAACACACATAGTTAACTTGATAACATGCTTTAGGAAATACAATTACTCTTACCCATGTTTAATAAGCTCGGTTGATATTCGCGCCAACATTGGTAGTAGAGCCACAATGTACTCAGTATGTTGTCTGTACACTGCCGCGTCAGTCACCACTGAATATGCCTCGAAAGCTTTCTCTATCAGGCTCGGGTTGCATACCTGTCAGTTGCAGTGAAAATAATAATGGCGGAATTTTTTTTTTTAGTTGATGTAAATGAAATGGTGTACTTGCGCAAACGGTTTACATAAGATACCAGGTAAGAAACATACGATGAGCATTAGTACAAGTGGGTTAGCCTAAAATACATTGCAATTTTATATCAAAATTTGTGATAATAAAATTCATATTCCAATAAACATACAGACAAGTTGATATAGGGACTGGTGGTGCTAATTAAGCTCTGGAAAGCTATTCAGAGCTTGTGTTATGGGTATTAGACAACTGATAGATACTTAGATACATTTTATTTCCAAATATATACATAAAAAACACCCAGACACACAAACAATCACACTCATGAATACAAAACGTTTGCACCATGCACAGAATCGAACCCACAACCATCGGAAGTAAAACTATGTGCTAAATCTACTTGCTTTAATTTTAAAATACAACTAGTGAAACATAAATGTAACCTGTTGACAACTGAGACAAGCTAGAAGTAACGTTGACTGAGCAGTGGACTGAGGCAGACTGAGCAGCAGTTGCCATGGCCTGATGCCACTACTGTGCTGGGGGTTACACGTCAGCCATATGAAAACTGCACGAAGAAGTTCCAAGCTGTTGGATGATACTCTGTAAAATAAAACAATATTACATTCAATAGAGTTTATTTACACTGTCAATTGGGTCTTATCATGAGTAATTTTAGGGTAAATAATAGTATATTACGATATAAGTGTGTTAGGATATTTATAACACATGAGGCAAAATTTTTCTGAAGGAGGTGTAATAGATTTGAAATAAACTCAACCATAAAATAGTGATGCAAACTGTTCCTTTCTGGCATATTATTTTTTTAAATCAACAGTGCCCTTGGATCATCCATTCCGCCCTGCCTAATGGCTGGCGCCGCAGTCAGTTCATAATTTTATATAAAAAATAATAAATAGTGCAGTTATGGAATATAACTTCACTATTTATGTTTATAACACACACATGTTTTATGACCTGCTTTATATATCGAATATCTGGTCTATCACCTATTGGTGAGAAGGAGGTAACAAAGTAGACAACTTTGTTCAAAGTGTATGAAAATAAATAAATATATGTAACCATAAAACCTTACATATAATCAGGATGTGTGCACAATGCATGCATTTGTACAAGTACATCCTCTTCTGCATTCTTATTTTTCTCCAGCACCGTTATGAACGGATGTTTGGGGGATTTCAGAGAGAACTGGCACTTGTACGGCTGTCCAGGTACAAGACGAGATTTCAGGTCCAAAATCAGTAGGCCAGCCATTGTGGAAATTATTGCTGAATGGTTGCTGTGATTGAGTAAAAAATATAAAATTGTAGTTAATAGTATATTTAAAAATCTTAGATACATATAATTTACAAAAATGACACATAAAATTATCACCAATTAAAATTTAAAAAAGTTAATTATAGTACAGCACATCAAGTTTAGCACATGACCTTACTTCCAATTATTGCAGGTTTGATCCCTTGGACAATAAATATATATTTAAATATTTCTATCATTTTTATTATGAGCACTAGACCCACAAGTTCTTCTTAAATTAGAACTGCAATTTAATAAATAGATTCTTCTCAGTGGGTAATTATTTAATTATCTTTATTAATTTTAAGAATTTTTACGATTAGTTTGTAATAATGGGGTTGACATATTCAAAACAAAAACCCCAAAATAAATTTAGATTAAAAAAAAATTTGAACTAGCTGGTGCTGTGTGAATTGCCTAGGGTTATTATTGTTATTATTATTTTCTTATTAGATTTAATAAAAGTAAGTATAGTAATATAATAAAAGAATATTGTACATACTGTGCGCTAGGTAGTAAGGTTATAACAGTCGACATAGTGTGCCCAATTTCTAATACACCCAGCTCCACCAGCGCCAACAGGCCTTGGCAAGCGGTCAAGCTCACTGTAGCCTCCTTGGAGGTACACTTTTCTCTTAAAAATTTCAATTCCTCATTCTCCAATACAAACTTTTGTCGAAGGTTGACTTTATACTTCGATTTAATTGTATATATTAACTTATCAATTGCGTTCACGATTAAAACACTGTTCTTTGTATTTAACTTGTATTCTATTTCTTCCATTTTTTTTATTTCTTTCAATTTCTTCAAATTTACAATGACACGCGCCGGGACAGCATTGAAAATGTTGTTTGAATACAGCTGATAATGTCAATTTTTTTTTTTTTCTTTTATCCTTCAGGAAAGGCAAAGGGAAATTAAATTTGTTAACGTGAGGGAATGATGGATATCCGTGGTTCAATCTGCTGAATGATAAACTAAGTGACTCCAGTCTTAATGTCAATCATATGTCATTGTGATTCAGTTTAGTTGTCCATTCAGTACATTAAATTCTGATTGATATATTTTGTTTCTAAATAATATATTCACAAAATCCTAAATATACATCTGAAATTAAACTAAATTACTGCCTAAAAATCCGATTTTAAAATGTCTACGCCACCGCGGGAGACTATCCAAAAGCAAATCCAACAAGATTGGGCGAACAGGGAATACATAGAAGTTATTACTGGAAGCATAAAGAAAATCACTGATTTCCTCAATTCTTTTGGTAAGTGAAAGTTAAAGAACATTATAATAGTAATAACGAAGTAGATTTTGTACAAGACAGTTTGCTTGGGTATTTCAAGTACTTTAGCCGAAATTACAGAGTACCTTAATTCACTAGTATAGCTACTAATGCCAATACATTATCACAATTATCACGGAAATACTTGATCCTTCTGGTTCTATTTACTTCTAAGGCGACGAGATTCACACACCACCACTTACAGTCAGTTCGACTGTCACTATCGTCCTTTTTGAAAATCTTTTATTGGAATCATAATGAATTATAACTCACTTTGGTGAATTAATTGATGACTTTTATTTTGTTTTAGACATGTCCTGCAGATCACGCCTAGCTACTTTGAATGAGAAACTCACATCTTTAGAAAGGAAAATTGATTATCTGGAGGCCTGTGTAAGTATAATTTTAGGATTAATCATGGATAACATTCTTTATTTATATATTTTTTTTATTATTACTATTTATGATAATATAATAGGGCTGATTAGAAGCTATGGTCTTGTTACATGCGTCCTCGCATATGTCTCTGGGCAGTGCCTGAATATCAGTGGTTTGCTACTTGTATGCAGTAAACAATACACTGAGGTGCTGCCTTTTTGCATATAGGCTATGCACACACACTACGTTACTCATACCGTTTTTTGTTAACTGTATTGCATTTTATTTTATCTGTATATTTGTTCTGTATTGTATTTTGTTTGACTTGACTAATGTAATTGTATATCTGTTTTTATTTTTGTTCTTAATATTACAGTGCCTTGTGTGTGTGCCTTAAACATGAATAAAATTTTTATATACTTAGCTATCTATTTTTTGTCAATTTTTTTTGTTCGGATCTGCCCTTTTCTGGGAAAGGCAAAAGGACTCAGCCTATACAGCCATTGTCTTCTGTAGTGTTTTCATATTATATTTTTTCCAATAATTGTCTTCATATAAGTTATATATCTTGAAATGTTGATATGACATACCAACATTTAAATCAGTCAATCTGGCAATCACGATATCCTTCCATACAAAACTTTATTTACTTTTAACACTGATATATAAGTTTCTATTATCATTATATTAATATACTAGCTGCACCCGCGACTTTGTCTGTATGGAATTTAACTTTATAAATAAAATTTCAGTATATGTTTATAATATTGAAATAACCGTTTTTTACTACATGCATATGATTATAAATACAGTACAAAAACCACAATAACATTTTTAACAAGTTTTGTCTGTCTGAAGTTAGTTAGTAATGTCTGAAATGGCTGGACCGATTTTGACATGACTTTTTTTTGGCAGGTAGCTGTTGTTATATAGAGTAACTTAGGCTGCTTTTATTTTAGAAAAATAAAATAAAATTACAGGCAGACAAAGTCAGGAGTACTGCTAGTTTTATTATAAGCAGCAATTGTAATAGTTTATTATTTGAGAAAAAGATGATTTTTATTATTGTGATCCTAAGCTCATATAAAGAGAGAAAAAATAATCTTTCTGATTGTAATATATTCATGTAATTGATTAAAAAAATACTCATATTTTTACTTGCAGGTAACCAAAGGAGAGACCCTCACATAGTAATTACAGTAATTTTTTGTTTATTATAATATTTGTATTATGTGCAACTTATCATAAAAATCTTTTTTTTGTTTTAACATACTACATAAAAAACATGACCGTACAGCCAAAAGCATATCTAATATGGAGTTCTCACTCAAAATGCTATCTAAAGTTTTTAAAATTTGGTGGAAAAAACATTGCATCATACAAGTACTTTTAGTTCTTGCCTCAGTTCAAATATTCTACTACCAAGTTGGGAATAAATAATTACTAATTGATTAAATTTATTTAAGTAAAGTTTTTTTTTAAATAGGTCACCAACAAGATTGATACCAACACAGTTACATTATATATAATACATTACAATCTATTTATTATACTAAGCGCAACCTTAATTATAGGCAACTACGACATTTATGTGACAAATTTGTGCTTACAATTCACAATTAACAAAACAAAAAACAACTTAGAATTCTACCTAAAAAAACGTGTACTGATTCAACTAGAACTAGTTTATTTCTATCTCTGCTGTGCTAAACTAGAAATCAATAAATAGTTAAACTAGTTTTAAAACGAATAATTATATGGTAAATAAAGGTAATTACCTCTCGTCGGATTTCACACAGGGTATTACAGGATATTACAGGTTATACCTATTCCAGACACCAGCTCCTCAAAGCAAATGTATTATAATAATAAATTGAAGCATTTTATTATAAAAAATCTACATGTATTATTGTCATCATTGTTATTATTTCATTGGAAGATCTAATTTGGATGCCGGCACCTATAATAATAATAATAAACTTTATTGGCCAATAAAACACTTTTACATTCAATACACATTACATTGTACTATCAACATTGACATTCGCTTTCGCGCTACTCCAGTTAGCTCGTGACCACGGCTAGTGCGACCTAGTCGATACGGCGAGAGAGGAAAATACCTTTATTTACCATACAATTATTCGTGTTAAAACCTGTTTACCTTTATTAATAATGTGTAATAAACAAAGTTTAAAAATAAGTATTGCAAACTATACAATTGTTTGTAATAATTTTGCAATATTTACAATGTCAGGTTTGACTTTGTAAAAACTCGTCCGCCTGATTATCTCAGTATCACTTATTCCAGCTTTGTGTGTATTTTGATTGAAGGGTAAGATTAACTATAATAAAAATGTGTATTAAACGAGGAAGTTTAAAAATAAATATTCCAAATTAGAAATTATGTAATTGTAATAATTTTGCAATATATTCAATGATGTCAGGATTGACTTTGTAAAATGTCGTCCGCGTGGTTACTCAGTCCCACTTATTCCAGCTTTGTATGTATTTTAGTTGAAGGGTAAGATTAACTATAATATATTTGTGTATTCAACGAGGAAGTTTAAAAATAAGTATTCCAAATTAAAAATTATGTAATTGTAATAATTTTGCAATATTTACAATGATGTCAGGATTGACTTTGTAAAATGTCGTCCGCGTGGTTACTCAGTCCCACTTATTCCAGCTTTGTATGTATTTTAGTTGAAGGGTAAGATTAACTATAATATATTTGTGTATTCAACGAGGAAGTTTAAAAATAAGTATTCCAAATTAGAAATTATGTAATTGTAATAATTTTGCAATATTTACAATGATGTCAGGATTGACTTTGTAAAAAGTCGTCCGCGTGGTTACTCAGTCCCACTTATTCCAGCTTTGTATGTATTTTAGTTGAAGGGTAAGATTAACTATAATATATTTGTGTATTCAACGAGGAAGTTTAAAAATAAGTATTCCAAATTAGAAATTATGTAATTGTAATAATTTTGCAATATTTACAATGATGTCAGGATTGACTTTGTAAAAAGTCGTCCGCGTGGTTACTCAGTCCCACTTATTCCAGCTTTGTATGTATTTTGATTGAAGGGTAAGATTAACTATAATATATTTGTGTATTCAACGAGGAAGTTTAAAAATATGTATTGCAAACTAGAAATTATACAATTGTTTGTAATAGTTTTGCAATATTTACAATAATGTCAGGTTTGACTTTGTAAAATCTCGTCCGCCTGATTATCTCAGTCTCACTTATTCCAGCTTTATATGTATTTTAGTTGAGGGTAAGATAAGGTGAAATTACTCGATAAGAGGCATGACTTACACTATGTAAGCTGTAGCATGTGACAGTTGCCTGTACAACGTTTTATTTGTAGACTACAACATTCTGTCTGGGTTAAATTTAAATTGCTACAGTTATTAATGATTTAATGTATTACGAATGTGGTCCAGCTGAAATATTAAGTCTAAAATTGGTAAATAGCAGCAACTTTCAAGAGTGAAACTTTATTTGAACTGTCATACGTACCGTGCTACAGCGCACATGGTATAGTCCTCCAGAATGGCAACATCTGAGTGGTATAACGGACGTCACATGGTAACGTGATGTCCCTAGTACTTATGTTATAAGCGATGGTTACCACTTACCATCAGGGGAATACTAGATTGAATGAAAAAATTGCAACTTATACTCTGACAGGTGACGACATCCAACATTTGAATGTATTTAGATTATACTTAAAAATCTTGGTAATTGACTTATATTTTAGGAAGCATTTTTGTCATACGCACCATGCTATATCGCATTGAGTATAATTAATATTACTTATATGTTTATTGTAGGTGTTAATGAAATGAATCGTATGTAGATTATGTAATGGATATCTTATAATCGAGCTTTAGATATAAGTTCCGTATTATTGTTAAATAAATATGCATAGTAACTTATAGTGTAATGCATTTAATTTAAATATATGTTAACAATATATTTCGCCTTTACATTGATATGTATCCACTATTAAACCTGTATATTATATACCTTCCATTATAAATGCGATAGTAACTATGTCTGTCTGTCTGTCTTACTTTCACGCTAAAACTACCGAACCGATTTAAATGAAATTTAGTATACAGATAGTATAGACCATGAGAAAGGACATAGTCTTTTTAAAGTGAAAAAGCTCAGAAAATATATCGTTAAATTTGAAGTAACAAAAAAATAGGAAATCTTTCTAATTAATATATGTTTGGATAAGGATTAATACCATTTTAATAAAAACACCACCAGAAATAATACATTATTTTAGAAGTAATTTGATTACCATAAAAAAGGTTATAGTGAGTTAATATTAAAAGAAAGACGTATGATTTTTAGAACTATTAATGGAGATCAATTCCGTCATACGAGTACATATTTTTTGCGTAACTTTGACCATTTATTTAGCGTACGCAACGGATCTCCTTAAAATGAAACTTTTGCCACATTTTTCGTTACTGATCCTTACAGTGTTTTGATTAATTCTACCCCCAAGGGGATGAAAGTTTGTATGAAACTTTGTCAATTCTAAACCGATCGTGCTGAGACTTTGCATGCATAAAGCTACTATGACGTAGGCATCCCCTAAAAAAGAATTTTGATTTATTCCACCCCTAAGGGGATGAAAGTTTGTATAAACCTTCTAAGATTTTCAACTGATTGAACTGAAATTAAAGATTGGAGCTACAATGATGAAAACACCATGGGGACAAAATAACGGATGTTGCAGGATGTAAATATATTAGTTTGAACCTATCAGTACCTAATAGAATAAATTAAGACGAACAAAATAATTTTTAGTTCTTTAGGCTACTTTTATTTTAGAAAAATAAAGTTAAATTCCACGCGGACGAAGTCGCAGGAACAGCTAGTGTAATCATAAAACTTCAAACATAACAGCTACGCCTTGACCTCCACCGCAACTCGACGCGGCGATTCCTCTTTTTAACTTCCGGCGGCTGAAAAAAAACGTTCAAAATTGTTATGCTGCATAGAGAAGTTTATGATAAATTTTACGGATTCTTGAAGTCATGATCTAACTACGTACATGGACCATATGATGATGTCTATAGGTACCCAAACATCAGGGTCAGAAGATTGTAGGATAGTCAGTAGTTTCTCGTGAAAATAGAAGAAATAATTCAGAAAATGATTTCATTATAGCACACGAAATCAGAAGTTTATTAAACAACGCTGTGGTAGGAAAAACAATTCCCCTCACCAAATAAATAATTCACCTCAGATTTAATTTAGAGTAGTTGTTCCCGCGACTTCGTCCGCGTGGAGATTATACTTTATTTTTCTAAAATAAAAGTAGCCTCAGTTACTCCGTATTTTATCAGCTACCTGCCAAAAAAAGTCCCGTCAAAAATGATATCTTTCTATATGTACCGTACATATAGAAAAATATCATTTTTGACGGGACTTTTTTTGGCAGGTAGCTGATGTAATAAGGAGTGACTTAGGCTACTTTTATATTCATGCATGTAGTAAAAAACGGTTATTTCAATATTACAAACAGATACTCCAGTTTTATTTATATGTATAGATGTATAGATATACAGCACTTTCGTCTTAACAAATTCTACCTCGAAAATTTCAGGATGCATGACTTCTTACCTCATTTCATGAACAATATGGACAGCCATCCTGGCGCCTGTAGCTGCTATGGGGTTCCCCATTGCTACAGCACCACCATTAACATTCACCTTACTAAGGTCTATATTTAGCTGTTTGGCGCAGATCACAACCTGTGATGCGAAGGTCTCGTTTATCTGAAATTGTATCATACCCATATATACCTTCTTTCCTAGATTTTAAAGGTAGAAGATTGATATTATTATTATTGAAGTTACAACGATTATTTATGAGAAATAGAAATCCAAATAAACTTAAAATAAGCTGGCCCCTCTTCCCCACTGGGCGCACTGGACCCGTGCCTAGGGCCCCGCGATGGAATGGGGCCCCTAGACTATTCTAGTCCTTACTCCATTACCAAACGATAACAGATAGCTACTCTACTCTCGCCTGAATTTTCCTTTAGTTCCTTTCATTTTGAATCAACTCCAAAAAAGGAGGTTGTGGTTCTTAATTCGGCTGTATTTTTTTAGGATTGTTACTTCATAACACTGTTAATTATAAACAGATTTGAAAACCTTTCTTTATATGAAAGAGTATACTTTCAGATTGGTCTCATTTTTTTAAGTTATTGTACTCGTTTTGTTTAACTAGATTATTAAAAAAACTCGATGCAAACAGTCTCTTTTAGTACGTCAGGGCTATGGCCTCCTCTGCAATCCAATATTGCATAGTTGGTTTTAAAAGAAAAAATAGAAATATTACCTCAAAGATATCCACGTCATTTACACTGACGCCCGAGATTTGTAATAACTTCTTCACAGCGGGAACAGCAGCCAGACCAGTTTCCAATGGATCGGCCCCTACACAAGACCAAGCCGCAACTCTTGCTAAAGGAAGCAGATTGTGCTGATTCACAGATTCTTCTCCAGCTAGTATTAACGCAGCAGCGCCGTCTGCTGGAGGCTGGAGAGAAGAACCACTTTTAGTTGCATTTAAATTTACAGTAATCTTAGTGAACAATTTTGTAATTTTCTCAGGTATATTATAGTGCAGCATAATACTCGAAGAATGAGGGAACGTCCCGCTTCAGGGAAAACGTCGAGTAATCCAGGTACCGTAGCCATAATCTCATATGTACAGTGTATATACAAGGTGTGATATAGTAATTCCATTTCAGCACGTAAGATAATAGATTGAAAGAAAAGAAAGAAAGAAAATTGTTTATATGGTACTCTGAAATTAATTTTTAAATTTTAATTTACATTACAGTACCAAATAGGTCTCCGCTCAGCATATGTCGTGACGGGGTGCCACGACGCTGGTTTTCAGCGGTTGCCTTCATATATAATATAATAATAATAATAATACACATACATACATTGCCAGAGTACCTTAGATAAGTCATTTTATCGAACGACACCTAAGTCACGCAGTGGTTAATATACGAGTATATAGTCAGTAGTTAGTCTAAGAATAATTCAAGAGCTAATACAAAAATTCCAACCTACTGTGTGTTTACTCGCAGCACTGCTCCTGTCATCATTAGTCGGAAAGACTATAATCATGAGGTGATACCTCACTACTGTAGCGTATCACTAATAACCTAAAGTATATTAACCTATCATCTCGCGCCGAGCGCACACGGTCCGTGAGGCGGAAAATGGGAGATGATTCCCCGCGCAGACGCCGCAGAGTAAAGACGTGGAACTCTGGCTAACGAACCGATATTATCGTGATGTCCAATTAATATAATAGAAGATATAAGACTTAGATTACAAATAAGTGAACACAATAACCATATTTTAACTTACTGATGAATTTCCAGTTGTGATCAATGATCCGTCATCTAGAATAGTTGGTAATTGCCGCAATTTTTCCGCATTTAAATCCGTTTTCGGTACTTCGTCTTTATCTACCACTATCTCTTTCTTCTTTGTTGTAACGGTCACATTTGTTATCTCTTTCTCGAAAATATTTGCTTCCTGAGCTGTAATTATTGAATTTTTATTTATTCCTATGTAACAATTATTGTAAACAAGCATACTCATAAATGGTGAACACTTAATGTGGCCCAAGACAACATCCTCGGATAATTCACACAGCGTCATAATACCAAGCAGAGCTTGTATGTGGTTTCTCTAATATGGTTGAGAGCAATGATGTCTGGCTCATGCGGTATACTCGTGAACGGGTGCTGCTTTTGGGAACTGGTATGGCTACTCATTAAATTATTTCCTTAGTTGATCATTCTCCCTAATTTGAAGAAAACGGTAATTTTGTAAAATAAATTTGTTCTTGTCAGTTATTCTTAGCTTCAAAGCTTTCCAAACTGACGGTAGATTCAATATATCATAAGACTCTGTAATAAACCTCATCTACATAAATAAAGATATTTGGATTCAATCACCTGCCTTCCATTTAAAGTGACTTAGTAAAGCAAAATCATCTATCTCCTCTCTTGAAATCTGATATTTCTTTGCTAAATCTTCTGCTACCTTCTCCAGTGTAACCCCGCTATAACTATCCAGAAACTGTTTTTTGATGTAGTCCTCGAATTGATACGAGGAACCCAGGGTGGAACCGAATCGAATATTCCTTACCAAATGTGGCAACGATGACATATGCTCTGTACCACCGGTCAATGATGTTTTTGCTAACCCTGTTATAATTTCCTGAAAATTTAATGTGTTGTAAACGCTTTAGTTATAAGTAATAACAATAATAAACCCAGGTCATCCACCCACAACGCCATCTAATCCCAAGCTCAGCTGTGCTTGTCTTTGTCATAGGTACCTACAACTGTTAGAAATACTTAAATTATTTTTTTGAAAATACATAATATTATATGAACAGGACGTTTTCGATTATATCCGTACCAAAAGTAACCTGACATTGATGGTGACGCGGCTGCAGTCAAGTCACAACGCGAGTTTCAAGGCGTTTGTAGCCCGGGTTCCCACCAACATGCTGCCCACCTTTATGAAGGAGGACTATTGGTCGAAGGGTATACCACACCCTTCGACCAGTAGTCCTCGGGGCTACCATGGCAGATTGCCGTCGTCAGTGTCGTGATCACAGACAATATCAATATCTTAATTTTATATTATTTCATATGTATGTTATTCTATAAGGTATTTATAATATGGGCCTAGTAGCCTGAAATAAATAAATGGTTAAAATAAAATAAATAATTTATGCAAACAGAATACACAGAATAATCCAAACAATCATACATATGAATACAAACGTTTGTACCGTACGAGGAGTGGAACCGCAAAGTAAAACAGTGTGCTAAAACGCTCGACCACCGAGAGATTAAAAATTACAAAAAGAAATATGTAAAACATTTAAATCAGTTGTCTATTATCCACAAAACAAGTTCTGTTAAGCTTGAGACTAGATGGCGCTATGTGAATTGTCCAGGGTTATTAATACTATTAATTATGACAGATATAAATGTGGGCAGTTAATTCTTACCACAGCACCATTCACTATAGTTTGCAACCCAGATCCGCATGCTTTGTTCACGCCCAGAGCTGGTCTATCGATAGGAACACCTGAGTATATACCACAGTATCTCGGAGTTTTACCACCATCGCACTGGCTCAACTAGAAAATCATATACAATTTCAACGTCTGGCCATTTATGGAGTAGCCAAAGCCTGTCAATTTCCATAGACAACTTTTTTACATTTCTGTAAACTCATTTCATGCATGTACATACGTTCCGGAGACTTGACTGATGAAATTAGGTGTTACTTTGAAGAAGTCCAATTCATTATTTTATAAATTTATATTAATTTGTTAAAACGCTACCATTAGCATATGTGAGATCACAAATATTCCATGCGATAACCGCCACTACTGGAAACGTTATGACCTCTATTTATAATCAAATTCCATCCGATATTCAATCTACACCCATCTTAAGACATCTGTTTGTCCTCTGAACGAGGCATCATCAGCCAATAAAAAGTAATTAGAACTCTTGTGTTAACTGTCGACACAATCGCAGTATAGTCGCATAGTATAGTATAGATTCTACTGTCGGAATTTAAGTACTAATAGAGAAGATCTGAACGCTTCCAGTAGTGGTGGTCAGTCTCCGCACTATATATTTGTGATCTCACACACGCCAATAGTGGCGGATTTGAACAAAATAGATTAAATTCATTAAGTAAGATTAATTGAGATTAATATAGAGACCAAATCAGATGATTAGATGCTAGCATCAACATCCTTACTTTTAGGTAGTTCCTACTTGTATTGAATAAAGCTAATACTTACAAAGTGAACGTTTGCCACAATTGTATTGTCTATATCAGAAGCATTAATATTAGAAGATCGAATAGCATCTTTAGCAGCAGCAGCAAACATCTGTGAAGCTGTAATGTCTTTCAATGGTCCACCATAACTGCAGAATGGCGTTCTTTTCGCTCCAATTATGAATATACCTGCAATTTTTAGACATAACTTTTTAAACGAATTGATTAATCCAATTTAAATGTCCTTGGTCTGTTCCATAGAGTTCAACAGTGAACAGAAAATTTAATATAATTTGGTACACCTGCATACCCCTTGATCATTTTTTTTTAATGTTCAAAAATATCAGTGATCATTTTATACAGTATAAAAAAATTAAATCGTCTTTATTGTCCAATAAAAACTCAATATTATCTAAATTATCTTCTGTTATATTTTAACTGTATGAATAAACCACAGAATCACTATTATTATTACATATCATTTAAATCTAGTATTATAAAGATACAATACAATTAATACAAAGAGCATGAAGTTAGTTATTGTAATTACTGCTTTGCAGGAAAAACCAGTAAATTCTACATAAATGTTTTATAGAAACAAAACAAACAGATAAAGAACACCAATTATACACACTCCGTTAAATTTGTGCATGCGCACTTTTGGGAGATTAAAATGTATGGGACTGTATTATTATTCAGTGAAAGTACCTTTGCTCGGCAATGCCATACTTCTCAAATTAAATTAATTTGCAATATAAATACCTACAATGTTTTGATATTTGTGTTGTTAAAACGAGTTATTACTTTAGCAATTGTACCGAGAGTGATATATAATTGTGTGAGTTCATATCTTCGCTTTATCAGCTTGTTGATACAACGATATTTTTGTTTGTTACATATTAAACTACAGAGCAATGTAATTGTCATTTATTATTGTATATTTAAACATTATTTTATGTAAATCTCGTCTCTCGAGAGATGGAATTTTTAGTGATAGCGATGCTACTGTAGGAGCTGAAATTGATAACTTATTTATTACATAACTTTTCTTTTAGATGTTAGCGGGATCAATTCCTCGTACGGTACAAACATTTGTATTCATGAGTACGATTGTTTGTATTGGTCTGGGTGTATTCTATGTATATTATGGAGGTGTTAATTTATATCAGTTGTTTGGTACCCATAACAAAAACTCATTTCATGTTGTGAGGATTATTATTATTATTTACTGTGGAGTTTATATACACACACCTTGGTACTTAAGTGGTCTCGGATAATGCGGTTTCAGAGCTTCCTGCCTCATTCCTCACAGTTAGATTGTGGAATGGACTACCTGCCGAGATTTTCTCGAGAGACTACAGCATTAGGTTAATTAAGGTTTTGATCCTCAAGAATAACATGAGAGTACCACGTCCATGGGCTAATAGAGAACAATTTACATTGTCAATATTAGATGCAAACTAAAAAATATTATTATTATTATAACATAAGCTTGTTTAACATTATAATTGCAAAAAAATCTTATTAAGTTTATTAATTGCCTTAAGTATTATAGAATATTAAATGTGTTATAAACTTAAAATTAAAGTTATTTTCATCACATATATGACAAAATATAGGTTAAGAAAATCACCATTGGCGGTTATACCCAAGTCCGTGAAATCTCCCCATCTATGGTATTTCTGCTGTGGATGAATCCAGTAAAAATCCCATAGATATTAAATAATTTTCATTAGATTTTTCTTAAGGTGCCAAGTTAGTAGAAATAATAGACGCTTTTTTCACTACTCTCATGCTGTTAGCCGCAGCTGGCCTTTACAGCTTCACTGGACGATAAGGGGCGAGTGTAGATGTCACTGCAAACCCGTGGAGCGACTGAAGGCCAACTCCCGCCTGATGGATACGACCTTAGTGTGAGGGCACTGCTAGGTGTTCGAACCTCGGCTCAGGCCGTCGTAATTTCCATACCCGCTTAAAGTGGACGGGGGAACTATCGGAGGGGAGTTAATAGATATTTGGGATAAGAAAATAAAGATACAAAAAGTTATTAATAAAAAAATATATATTTATATTTAATAAAATATGTATAAGTATCTTCAACATGATTATAATTATTTATTAACAACATATATTAGTTTTAATGCCTAATAACTTTTTACAATATACCTCTGTAATCTTTACATAATGCAGTTTTCAGCAATAGATAGGCTGATTCAAGAGGAAGGTTTTTATGTATAATACATGTACACCCGTGCGAAAACGGGGCGAATAGCTAGTAAATTAGACATAAATAAAATTGGAGTGTCTGTTTGTATTATTCAAATAACCGTTTTTCACTACCTGCATATGAATAAATACGGTACATACACCAAAATACATAGTTTGTCTGTCTGTTTGTTCCTGCTAACCTCTGAAATGGCTGGACCGATTTTGACACGACTTTTTTTGGCAGGTAGCTAATGTAATGAGGAGTAACTTAGGCTACTTTTATTTTAGAAAAATAAAGTTAAGTTCCACGCGGACGAAGTTGCTGATACAGGTAGTAAGTACAGGTTAACATAATCTTAGATTATCGCAGTCTATAGTTAACTCGCTGCACTCTCAGTATTCGCAGTTCATCACACAGCCTCGATCAATATGGCGATGCCCTGCCCTCCGCCGATGCACGCAGATCCTATTCCTCTTTTCAAGCCACGCCGTCTGTAATTAAACATTATATATATATATATAAAAGAGAGGTGTTTATATATATATATTATAGCTTAGGGGACAAACGAGTTTGCAGCTTACTTGATGGTAAGTGATTACCAGCGCACATGAGTAACCGCAACAAACGGAAATGCAAGTGCGTTATCAATTTAGCTCTTTTCTTAAAGGTTTCAATATCGTGTCGTTTCGGAAATACCATTGCTGGTAGGTGATTCCACAATGTGGTTGTGCGTGGCAAAAAGATTACACTACTCATTCATTCATAATTTAAGAGTGGGTTCGGTGGAGATCCCGCCACCTTCTACGATCTTCTATCAATCGTTTTAGTTGTTGATACGACACGACTCCAACTTTTTCCTTAACCTGCTTGATATAACTGTGTTTTGGTCTTCCTCTTCCTCTCTTTCCATTTATTTGTCCTTCGATAATATTACTAACTAGCTGTACACGCGACTTCGTCCGCGTGAAATTTATCTTTATTTTTCTAAAATAAAAGTAGCCTAAGTTACTCCTTATTACATCAGCTACCTGTCAAAATCGGTCCAGCCGTTTCAGAGATTGGCCGGAACAAACAGACAGACAGACAACAATTTAGAAAAATATTATTATGATGTATGTACCGTATTTGTATTCATATGGATGTATTAAAAATCGGTTATTTCAATATTACAAACAGACACTCCAATTTTATTTATATGTATAGATAAGTTCGTCGTGTCGTATCAAGTGCCCCAACATTTTCCCCCCGCCTATTCTCAATAATATTTACATGTCTCTTTTCTTTAACCCTTTCAAGTTGTAGTATATGCTTATTGGTACCTGAGTTCGTGAGTCAAATGAGCGGTGATCCTAGCACCTGACGCGCCCACGGGATGGCCGATGGCGATCGCACCACCGTTCACGTTCAGCTTACTCCGGTCCAGGCCCAGTTCCTTCACGCAGGCCAGTGTTTGCGCAGCGAAAGCCTCGTTGATCTGAAAAATCCAATTTACCTTCAAAAACTGTGGTAGACTCAATGTCATCCGCCTTTACCTCGTCTATATCTATTTTTTTATAAGAATAAAAAATATATAATGCAAGTTTCTCTTCGGACTACTCTATGGTGTTGGCCGCAGTTGGCCTTTACAGCTTCAACGGACGATAGGGGGCGAGTGCAGATGGCACTCCAAACCCGCAGTACTTATGGAGCGGCTGAAGGCCAACTCTCGCCAACGGATACGACTTTCTGAAGGCACCACTAGGGGTTCGAAACTCGGCTCAGGCCGTCGACATTTTAATCCACGTTTGGACGGGGGATCGTACGGAGGATATCGGATGGGGGAAGAGCCCACGCCCTCACCCCATTCGGTTAAATTAATAAAAAAAAACACAAACGACACATGAGCACAGATCAGAATAAACATTAAGAAACTGAACAGAGTAATTCAAACATTAGCGCCATCTGTGCAATCAGTCAAGCGGTTAGTAGATAGATACGCATAGGGCAGAGTGTTTACATATTCATTTTAATTTATACTATATTTTGGACAAACATAGAAAGGACATTAACAAAATTAAAACATAAAAAGAAATATAACTCAGTACAAAAGGTGGTCTTATCGCTAATTCAATCTCTCCCAGACAACCTTAGGAAAAAGAGTATTACCAAAAAAATAAAGTAGGTGGCGTATGAGTAGAAATATAATATTATACACACTTATGTAAATAAAATAGACATCAGCGAAAGTGCTCAGGACTCGGTTTTTGATACAACAGTTACCCACCTCAATCAAGTCGATGTCATTTAGCTTGAGTCCCGTTACGGACAGAACATTCTGTATGGCGGGGACTGGCCCGATGCCCATTATGCTCGGGTCTACCCCAACGAAGGACCAGCCCAAAATCCTCGCCAGCGGTTTCAAGCTGTGTTGCTTCAAAGCCTCCTCGCTGGACAGGATCAGAGCGCCAGCACCATCGTTAACTCCCTGTCAATAGAAGTACAGGGGATTGTTAGTAATGTGGACTGTTGACCTTACTTTTTTATGATAATGGAATGGTGCACCAGCCTGCGCTAACGGTTTAATCTGGCGGGGCACCAATGGAGGATGATAAGATGAACATGAGGTCCAATCAGGTAGCCCATCGTGACAAATTCACCAAGAATTTATCACAATGGTTTCCGAGTGACCTGATGGTACATTGCCCCTGTTGACCCTATTAGCAATGTGCCTGTCAGGTCGACCTCCACGCGCTTCCCCCTGGAAACCATCGTGATAAATTCATGGTGAATTTGTCACGTTGGGCCTAACTGATCTGACCTCATGTTCATCTTATCATCCTCCACTGATGGAGCATCAGTGGAGGATGATAAGCGTAAACTGTTATCGCAGGCGGGTGCACCATTCCATGATTATACATTAAACAAAATAGAAGTACAAATACATACATATATATACTTTTATAGACAATTCACACCAGCGCTATCTAGTCCCAAACTAAGCAGAGCTTGTATTATGGCTACTAGACAGCTGATATATATACTTAGATATTTTTTGGTTACAGTATTTTTTACGGTACCTGCTCCTTTGTATTCCTGAATTAAACAAATAGGTTCCATAACCATAATTAAATTTGTTTTACTAAGTCTATAATTGAACAATAAACCTACTGACGAATTTCCAGCTGTAACAACACCCCCCTTCCTGAACAGCACGGGCAGTCTGCTGAGTCCATCGATAACCGTGTCGGGACGTGGATGCTCATCTTTATTCAGAACCACCTCCTGTCTCTTCACTTTTACAGTCACAGGGGATATTTCTTCATTGAAAACGCCGGCATCGTATGCTGTGATAATTTAAAAGATAATTAAAGTCCGTATGGAGAGCTTCGAGAGGTTTAAAACCTTGAATTACGCCTAAAAAGTCGTGGGTTCAAATCTGGCCGATATAAAAAATGTGTCAATTTACATTTTTGACGATCTGGTACAATTCCCACAGCGCCATCTAGTTCCAACCTAAGCAAAGATTATGTTCATGTGCAACTGATACAAGTCCTTAATTACATATTTCTTTTATAAATATTTACATAGAAAACACCCAGACTGATACAAACAATCATTCATGAATACAAATTTTTACACCGTGCGAGGAATCGAACCAGCGACCATCGGAAGTAGTAAGGCGGCCCTTACCGACTAAAAAATTACTCAAATTGGTGGGGCTAATTTAAAAATGGCTCCTAAACAACTATATCTCCTTCCCCCACCCTTCCTCACCCTTCACGGTTTAAAATTCTCAAATTGATGTACATAAATTTACTGATAGCCCCAAAACAACAATAATAATAATAATCTCAGGACAATTCACACAGCGCCATCTAGACCCGAGTTAAGCTATCTAAAGCTTGTGTTAAGGGTACTAGATAACTGATACAAGTACATAGATATTTTTTTTCGTAAATACATACACATTATACATAGAAAACACCCAAACCGATACAAACAATCATACTTATCAATACAAATGTTTGTGCCGTGCGAGGAATCGAACCCGCGACCATCGTAAAGCGGTGTGCTAGACCGCTAGACCACCGAGGTCGTCAAACAAACAATAAATCTTACCGGCTTTCCATTTCTGTTGAGACTGTAACGCAAATTCGTCAACTTCGCTCCTCTTCAGTTCATACTTTTCTGCTAGATTCTCGGCCGTCTGCGGCATTGTGAAGTTGCAATAGCTGTCCAGGGATCCGGTGGTCAGCATATCCTCGAAATGGTAGCCAACACCGAGCGCGGTGCCGAAGCGGACGTTCCTAACTGCAAATGGTACTAATGACATATTCTCTGTACCACCAGCTAGTGACACCTGAGCCGATCCTGTCAGGATATCCTGTAATGAAGATATTATTTTAGGACGGGATTGTTAGGAACGAAGCAGCCAGATGACAATTCACAGAGTGCCATCTAGTTTTCACACGTGTTTTACCTGTGTACTATTCACAATAGCCTGGAACCCAGATCCGCACAGTCGGTTCACACCTAGCGCGGGCTTCTCCTGCGGGACCCCGGCCTTCAGAGCGGCGTGACGTGGCGACAAGCCACCGTCTGATGTACCACTCAACTACAACAATGTTTTTAAATTTAATTTTTTTTTATTGATGGAAATAGAATGTTGCACCCGCCTGCGCTAACGGTTTACTCCGGCGGGGCACCAGTGGAGGATGAAAAGATGAGTATGATGTCAGGTCAGTTAGCCCATCAAGACATATTCATCAGGAATTTGTAATGATGGTACCGCGTGGAGGTCAATCTGACATAGGACACAGGACATTGTTAGCAATGAGGTCATCAGTCCACATTTCTAACAAACCCTTTTGCCTCCGATGATAAAGGAAGTACTTAAGTAAAAAAAATTGATTTTTTTAATAATATGTTTTACGGCTCTGGATACAAGTCCTTTTTCGCCGAACTTAACAAATATACACATAACAAGTTCGTAACTCGAAGTTTTACAAAATTTACTTTAAAATAGAATTTCAATTGAGTTTCTTGCCAGTTCATCTCAATTGAAACTGTATACTGAACTGGACGGTAGGGAAAATAATAAAAAAAATTACGTTCATGAGCAGCTAAAATGTCCTACTTGAATAAATGCTTTTTGAATTTGAATTTGAATAAAATTAAAATATATATTTATTCATGTAGGTCTTAATCAGTAAAAATGAATGAAAATAGAGAGATGCTTCTATAGACGTTTATTACAGCAGAGCGCAGTGATAGAAGTGTTATGAAACAAAATCTATAAAAAGAACTCTCATACTTTAAATATGGATAAAATAATATAAAAACTGCCAGTGACTCTCATTGTAGGTCTAACATAATCTACCGTCAGTTCGGATTACTTCCGAGCTAAGCATTGACAAGAAACTCAGCTCTTATTCTTTGAATTTAATAACAATAATAATAACCTAAAATATAGACTATGTGTCTTAAACCAATATGACTATTCATAAGTTCTTATACTAAATTTATTTGAATAAAGATTATTTATATTCTATACTTAAATAGTCTGTAGCAATTTTTATATCATATCTTCTTACATATAAAATTCTCGTGTCACAGTTTTCGTTCCCACACTCCTCCGAAACGGCTTGACCGATTCTCATGAAATTTTGTGAACGTATTGAGTAGGTCTGAGAATCGGCCAACATCTATTTTTCATCCCCCTAAATGTTAGGGGTAGTCCACCCCTAAATTAATTTTTTTATTTTAAGGCAAAACAACGTTTGCCGGGACAGCTAGTAAAAATATATTAACGCGAATATATACTCACTCCATATACTTGTCCAATGTTGACACTGTCTACTAGAGCCGGTGCGATGTTGCTGGCTTTGAAGGCATCCTTGGCGGCAACGGCCAGCAGGTCAGAAGGATGGACGTCTTTCAGCAGACCACCCAATCGTCCAAATGGAGTCCGCTTCGCCGCCACCACGAATATACCTGCGGCAATAATAGAAATAGAAATAATCTTTATTCAAATAAACTTAATACAAACATTAAAAAAAATGTAACACATATAGAGGATAAAAAAAAATAGGCCAAAAGGACGTAGCTAAAAAAGAAGCGGCAGATTGTACTATAAAAAAAATAACTTTTGAATAGTCATATTCGTTTTATTCTACAGAACTCGATTTTCAGAACGCAGACTCATCACAAGAAGAATGAGCAAGAAACTTGTGGGTAGCTATAATCTTCTTTACATTTTTCTATCATTAATAATTATAATAATTAATAATAATAATCTCAGGATAATTCACACAGCGCCATCTAGATAATTGATACAAATACATAGATAATTTTATTTTCTTAAATACATACATAGAAAACACCAAGACCGATACAAACAATCATACTCATGAATACAAATATTTGTGCCGTGCGAGGAATCGAACCCGCGACCATCGGTCGAAAAGTGCTAGACCGCTAGACCACCAAGGTCGTCATTAACAGCAACAAGAAATTCTAGTCTTTAATAGTAGTTCCTAATCTTTAACATGTTAGTACTTTATTATTCGTGACAATTTTTTTTATGGATGATAATGGAATGGTGCACCCTCGTGCGTTAACGGATTACGCTGGCGGCGCATCAGCGAAGGATGATACGATGAGCATGACGTCAGGTCAGTTAGCACATCGTGACAAATTCACTAAGACATCACCACGATGGTTTCCAGAGGGAACAGCGTGGAGGTCAACCTGATATGGTCCACATTACCAAGAATCCTCTTTCCCCCTTATTTATGACCATTGTGTGGGTTGTTTTGCATCGGTTACTTTTATTGTGCTGTCAATCTGAATATTATCTTAAAATATGCGATAATGGTACGAGATAAGTTAAATGCATAAGCCTCGCTCGACGGGGTGCCGTGATAAAGGCCCAAAACAACAGTTGAATAACAAAATGCTAATATATTTTTTTTATAAGTCAACTAGCTACTCGCCCCGACTTTCCTCGGTGTGCATGTATTACACATGTAAACCTTCCTTTTGAATCACTCTATCTATTAAAAAAACCGCTTCAAAATCCGTTGCGAAGTTTTAAAGATTTAAGCATAAATAGGTAGAGATAGCAACAGCGACTTTGTTTTATACTATGTAATGATTAAATTAACCACGCCGTCTTGATCATTATCTAAATACTTTTAAAATTATATATAATACTTCTGTGTAAATTAAAACTTTAAAAATAATTTAACTAAATCTAAAACCTTTAAATGCTTATCTAAAAATTATTTTCTATTTAACCGACGAAATCTATACATGTAAGTAGAATTGGAGTGTCTGTTTGTAATATTGAAATAACCGTTTTTTACTACATGCATCTGAATATAAATACGGTACATACACAAAAATAAAATATTTACTATCTGTCTGTCTGTTTGATCCGTCTAATCTCTGAAATGGCTGGACCGATGTTGACGCGACTATTTTTGGCAGGTAGTTGATGTAATAAGGAGTAACTTAGGCTAATTTTATTTTAGAATAAAGCAAACGTTTATCTAATTTAATTTTATATGAGACAAGAAAGTGACATATATAAGTTGCGCGCGCAGCTACGCATGCGCGCTACCTATACAATATATTTATGTACGTACTAGCTGTTGAATTGGGAGATATTCCGAGTGAAATGATCTAGATTTTTAATGGATATTCTTAATAAAATACGAACATGATGTTAAACGTAACTTTTAATCTATCAATATATATTTTTTAACAATGACAGAATTTATTACTCAAATACAATTATGTATATGAACCTCTATGTTCATTCAACATGCCCCCTTAATTGTATTTTAATTTAACATGTATTTAAGAACTAAGTAATTAAGAACACCACTAAACATTTTAAGAAAACTACTTTAAAAAAAAATATTAATATTACTTACTCACTAAACTATAACTATTACAATAAACAAATTAAAACAAAACTTCTGTCTTAAAATAAAATAAAATTACTTGTATAGTTGCCCCCTTAATTTTGTTTTATAAACTAAGAAATAATATAAGACTTTAAATAAGAAAATTTTACATTTCCAAGAGGCTTCGTCAGAATATCAGCAATTTGATGCTCAGAGGGGCAATATTTTATTTTTAAAAGTCCTTCACTGACTTTTTCGTGTATATAATGATATCTGACATCGATGTGCTTTGATCTTCTGTTCATAATACCGTTGTTAATTAAATGAATTGTACTTTGATTATCTACATAAAGCGTTGCATTAACTTCTTCATTTACTACCTCACTAATTAAGTTTTTTAGGTACATTAACTCCCGGCAACAATCTGCAGCAGCTATATATTCGGATTCCGATGATGACATGGCAACTATGGGCTGTTGTCTTGATGACCATGTAATAGGACCTCCACATAGAAAGATTATATAGCCTGTTGTGCTCTTTCTTGTATGTGGATCATTAGCATAATCAGCATCACAATAAGCTTCTAAATGCAGATTACTGTTATAAAATTTAATACCTGAATTTGATGTCCCTAGCAGGTACCTTAATATTCGTTTTCCATTAATGACATTTTGCTTTGTTGGTTTTTCCACTCGTCTACTACAAAAATTAACCGCAAATGCTATATCAGGACGAGTTTTATTAGCAACATATAATAGCGACCCTATAAGTTCTCTGTAAGGAAAATACGAATTATTAAAATCTATTTCTTCATCTTCTGTCTCTATTTTGTTTGCTCCGATGCATATTGGTATTGGAGTACTTTTAGCATCTTTCATTTCAAATTTATTTATTATTTTGTTAATGTAATTTTCTTGTGTTAATGTAATATGATTATTTTCATTTTTATTAATTTCTATTCCTAGAAATAAACTAGGTTCTGTATTCAACGTCATTTCAAATTCATTTTCCAGCTCTTTTATTAACTTCTCCATTTCTTTTTTATCTTTTCCCATGAGTATTCCATCGTCTACATAAATACCCAATATAAGTGATTCATTTTTAAACAAACATTGATCAGCTTTTATAGGTAACAATCCTTTATTTTTTAAATATGATGTAAATCTCTCGTTCCATTTTAATGGTGCTTGTTTTAAGCCATAGAGTGATTTTTTTAATTTTACATATTTTTCTTCATAACCCTCTGGTAACTTCATGTATATATCTTCCAATAACTCTCCATATAAAAAAGCTGTTTTAATGTCAAATTGCATAATATTGTAATTTTTATATGCAGCAATAGCAAACATTGCTCTTAATGTACTTGTATTTATTACTGGACTGTACGTTTCCGTATAGTCGATTCCTTCTTTTTGTTGACAACCTTTTACTACTAATCTAGCCTTATAGCGACCACTTTCCTTAATTGTAAATACCCATTTTGCCGTTAGTATATTTTTATTTTTTTACTTCTTCCACATCTATTACATTCCACGTATTATTTTGCTCTAATGATTGCATTTCATCTGCTATAGCTTTTTTCCATTTTAATTTATCATCTCCAGATATTGCTTCTTTGTATGTTAAATATACGAAATCTGGATGTATATTTCGTTTCTTTTCTCTTTTTCCTCTACCTAGTAAAGTATCATCTTCTTCTATAATATTATTATTGTTTGAACAACATGGAGTATTCTGTAAAAAATTTGTTTGTATGTCTTGTGACTGTTCTTTATATTGTTCATACATATCATTCATACGTACCATCTCTACCGTATCATTAAAGTTTTTAATTTCTACATTGTCATTTTGGCAATCCATTAACAAAGGTGTATTATTATGTTTTTCCTTATTTATATTCATATCAAAATCATTGGCTATTTCATTAACATCATTATGAAAAATTACATCTCTCTCTACATAAATTTTTCTTTTCTCTTCCGACCACAATCTATATCCAGTAGGAGCATATCCAACCATTATTAATTTTTTGCTTCTAGGTTCAAGTTTCTTTAAATAACCAAGTTTTTTTACATATGCTGTACTGCCAAAACATTCGACATATTTAAGATTTGGTTTTTTATTTGTCCATTCTTCATATGGTGTAATATCCATTCCAACTGTAGGTAATCTATTAAGTAGGTATGTAGCCACTAAAACGGCCTCACCCCACATTTCATTTTTAAGTCCAGATTGGAATAATAAAGTACGAGCTTTTTCCATAATGCTTCGATTTAACCTTTCAGCTTTTCCATTTAACTGAGGTGTATGGTGAATAGTGTAATCTAGTTTTATCCCTTTTCTCTGACACCAGATTTTAAGATCATTATTGGTGTACTCACCACCATTATCACATCTTATAGTACTGACTTTATTCTCTGTTTCACGTTCAACTTCGTTAATATAATCTTTCAGGAGTTGTGACACTTCATACTTATTTCTCATTAAATAGGTTTTTACGAAATGTGTAAAATCATCAAGTACAGTCATAAAATATTTCTTACCATCCCAAGTTTCATCTTCGATACTACACACATCAGTATGAATAATTTCTAACTTTCTAGTAGCTTTATTTCTAGAATAAAATGGTTTTCGAGTTTGTTTCGCCATAATACAAATTTCACATTTAAAGTTGGTTAAAAATTTTTCATCTATGTTTATACCAGTTGCCAATTTTGATAATTTTAACAAAGATTCATTTGACGGATGTCCCATTTTAAAATGCCACATACTTGTGTTGTCTTTCTTTGTTGTATATAGTGACATATCTTTTCTGTCAATAAATGTTTCTAAATTTATGACATATAATCCTTCTGCTGTTCTTTTACCGTGTAGGATTGCTTCAGAATCTTTAGTAATAATTACAGACTGATCTGAGAAATTCACTTCACCGCCATTATTTGTTATATTGTTTACAGATAGGAGATTTTGAGTTAAACTGGGTACGAACAAAACTTTTTGCAGTATTATATTTCGACCAATTATTTTACCTTGACCCCGTGCCATCATAGTTTCATCATGTTTAGCAACACTGATCTCAGATTGAATTTCTTGAAAATCATGTAGTGTATCTCGGTTGTTTATCATGTGAATTGAACAACCCGAATCCACTATAAATTGTATGTTTTTCTGGTCATTTGACATTTCTTTAGATAGAAAGGTAACGTGTTTGTTATCCTTTTGATATTTATTTACAAATTGTTTTTTATCTGTACTATAGTTGTTCTTCTTTTGAATGTGGTATTTCCGAAAATAGCAATTAGCTTCTATGTGATTTGTCTTTTTACAAATAGAACATGGTTTTGTTCTACATTGCTTCGCATTATGACCCATGCGATTACAATTTAGACATTTTACAACTTTCTGCGTCTTAAAAGCAGTAGCAGTTGTATTCATATATTCAGTTTTATTCAGCCTATTTTCTTCCGTTAAAAGTCGACTTTTTAGGTTTTTAAGGGTCTTTTCATCTGTTTGTGTTGATTCCCATGCAGTAATAAAATATGAATAGTTGTCTGGTAATGAACTTAATATTTTTGATGTTACAACTTCGTCATCCAATTTTTGTCCAAGTTTTTTTAGTCTAAAAGTGAGATTTTCTATTTCTGACAGATATTCATTAATGTTATAACTAGGTCGATATTTATAGTTGAAGAATTCTTGTAAGATTTGACATTTATTACGTTCTTCTGAACCATCATATAAACTACAGAGATTGTCGAACATGTCTTTTGCATTTTCACAATTTAATAAATGTTGTACATGTTTTTTATCAATAGATGTAATTATAATAGCCTGAGCTTGAGCATCTTTTCTTTCCCAGTCGCCATCTTTTTTCAATTCATTATTGCTTGCTATTATTTCAAATAATCCTTTGGCTTTTAGTATTATTTTTATCTCGAACTTCCAGATATTATACGATTCATTATCTACTAGTCTTGTTATGTGGTCTTCATTACTATTACCCGATCTCGCCATTTTTAATGTTTTTAATTTTAATTATTATATTTTATGTAAATATTAATATATTTTATATTATTTGTAGTTATTAGCCCATAACCTGTTGAATTGGGAGATATTCCGAGTGAAATGATCTAGATTTTTAATGGATATTCTTAATAAAATACGAACATGATGTTAAACGTAACTTTTAATCTATCAATATATATTTTTTAACAATGACAGAATTTATTACTCAAATACAATTATGTATATGAACCTCTATGTTCATTCAACACTAGCTGTCACGGAAAACGTTGTTTTGCCTTAAAATAAAAAAAAAATTACAGGTGGACTACCCCTAACATTTAGGAGGATGAAAAATAGATGTTGGCCGATTCTCAGACCTACTCAAAACGCTCACAGAATTTAATGAGAATCGGTCAAGCCGTTTCGGAGGAGTATGGGAACGAAAACTGTGACACGAGAATTTTATATATAAGATATATACATAACACTACCAAATAAACTTACTAATGTACTTGTTTGACGAACTCGGTGGTCCAGCGGTCTAGTACACCGCTTTACGACCGATGGTCGCGGGTTCGATTCCTCGCACGGCACAAACATTTGTATTCATGAGTATGATTGTTTGTATCGGTCTGGGTGTTTTCTATGTATAATATGTATGTAATTACCAAAAAAAAATATCTATGTATTTGTATCAGTTATCTAGTACCCACAATACAAGCTTTAGCTAGCTTAACTTGGGTCTAAACGGCACTGTGTGAATTGTCCTAAGATTATTATTATTATTATTTATTATTATTAATGTACAATAAATAGTACAATTATTCCACCTGTATACTCACTACATACATACTACAATAAACAATATATTATGTAGCGACACCTCATCACATCATATATAACGTTACAGTGGTAATTTTTCCCCCGTCCAATTCGAACGGGGATCGAAATTACGACGGCCTGAGCCGAGGTTCGAACCCCTAGTGGTGCCCTCAGACTAAAGTCGTATCCGTCAGGCAGGAGTTGGCCTTCAGCCGCTCCATAAGTCCTTCCGCGGGTTTGGAGTGCTATCTGCACTCGCCCCATAACGTCCGGTGAAGCTGTAAAGGCCAGCTGCGGCCAACAGCATTAGAGTAGTCCGAAAAAAAAGGTGATAACCACCACGCTACAATGGGGTTGGGCTACTGTCAGGTGCTTTAGACCTGTAGCACTGCGACCTACATAGATCTATTGTGCTCGCCCTTTTTCAGAGTTCGCTACCTAGACCCGTTAGGGACAAGAATTGAAGGTTATTCTTAGGAGCGATGGTTTTTATCTCCTCAGGGTGATATAGAGTGTATACTTTCCAAAGGAGATATTTCGTTTATGCATGAGTGGGCTACAACCACATAGGAAGTGTAGAGGCGTTTCGTTTCAGCTTGTAGAGCTTGGCTTGGCTTGAAAGAAAGGGGAATCATGGCACCTTGGCTTGGAGTATATTAGATCGACCTACAGTCGGTACGCGTTCCTCTGGGACCACCATAATTACGACCTGACTTCATCCTTATCCCCAACTGGTGCCCCAGAGTATACCATTAGGATATTCCGGTGTATTATCCATGCGGGTAATGGCGACAGTAGTCTAACGGTTTAGCATTCCGATGGTAGCGGGTTCGATTTCACGCAGGGTACATACATTTTTATTTAGAGTATGATTGTTTGTATCGGTCTGTGTGTTTTCTATGTATTATTAAAATGTATATAAGTATGTATTTATATTAGTTGTCTAGTACCCATAACACAAGCTCTGCCTAGCCTGTGACTAGTTGGCGCTGTGTTAATAGTCCATGATTTTTATTATTATCGATTCTGATTAATAGGGAATTAATCAGAA